GATGAGGGTAATGGATGAGGAGGCTGCAGCATGTCATCTGCTATAGAGCTGGGGTGAGACTGGGCCATTGGATTTAGAGGAGAGGAGAGAGAGGTGAAGGTCTGTGGTTAGTCTATGTGTTTCCCTGGCTGGGTTGAAAGGTTAGAAGGGAAGATCTGTGTGATCATTGGAGATGGGAGAGGGAGGGAGGCAATGCTGCAGCAGATGGACTGCTACAGAGCTGGGGAGGAGACTGGGTGTTAGTATTCCAGCATCTGTACCCGCCTGCCCTTGGGGTTTTGACAGGATATGTCCTTAGCTGCAGCCACTAAGAGCACCACCTGTGCACATTGACTACATTCCCCTTTCAAAAGTCCCTACCCACCTCCCACCTTTTTCTCCCTCCCTCCCCTCTCCCCACCACTCTTGTCCCCAGGGACCAGTCTCTGCCCACCTCTCTGCCCCTTCTCTCCCCTCTTTAAATAAACCTCCTATGTGAGCCTCATTGCATGGCATGACTTCTCTTCATGGAGCTTTTCAAATTACAACACTGGGGAGTTTGATTTGGAGAAGAGGGAGAGGTGATGATCTGCAGTTATTAGCCTGGCTTCTTTCCTGGCCTGTGTGGCAGGCAGTGTGTTCCCAGGGACTATCTACTAGAGTTGGGAGCTGGGACAAAGTGGTGTGTGTGTGTGTGTGTGTGTGTGTGTGTGTGTATGTGTGTGTATTTTCAAGGAGAAGATCTGTATGATTCACTGGAGCATTGTGGTCTGCTACAGAGCTAGGAATAAAACTAGGGCATTGGATTTGGAGAAGAGAAGGAATAAGTGAAGATCTGCAATTAGTCCACTTGTTTTCATGACCAGAGTCAGGTGCGGCTGGTTGTCTCTCTCTTTTTTTTCTCTTTTGCTCTTAGCTCTTTGGGGGCCTGCCACCCAGATCCCAAATAATCACACATGGAAACTTATTCTTTTTTATGAATGCCTGGCCTTATCTTGGCTTGTTTCTTGCTAGCTTTTCTTAAATTACCTAATCTACCTTTTGAGTCTGGGTTTTTACATTTCTCTATTTCTGTATGTCTTTTCTTTCTTATTCCATGTCTGGCTGTGTGGCTGTGTGGCTAGTCCCTTATTTTCTTGATCCTTGATCCTTTTCTCCTTCTATTTATTCTGTCTACCTGCAAGACCCACCTATACTTTCTGCCACCTTTCTATTGGCCATTCAGCTCTTTATTAGCTTCACAGAGTTAAACAACTGCAACAAAAAAACAATGCAATTCATCTTTGTATTATTAAACAAATGTTCCATAGCATAAACAAATATAACACATCTTAATAGTCTACATCTGCAAGGTGTGGGCTTTTTGAAATCTCAAAGCCCATTCTTAGCAACACACATCCTCCAACCTGACCACACCTACTAATCCTTCTAATCCCTCTCAAATAGTGCCACTCCCTGGTGGCTAAGCTATACAACACCATTTGTGCACATTGGTTTTTTGTGTGCAGGTGCTTGTGTATACTTGTATGTGAGTGTGTCTGTGTATGTAGGCTATAGAATAATCTTGGGTGTTTTGTTGGTTAGGTTTTTGTCAATTTAACACAAGTTAGAGTCATTTGGAAAGCGGGAACTTCAACTGAGAAAATGCTCTCACTGAATTGGCCTGTGAACAAGCTTTGGAGGCATTTTCTTAACTACTGAATAATGTGGGAGGGCTCAGTCTATTGTGGGCAGCATCACCCCTATTCAGGAAGACCTGGGTTGTATAACAAAGCAGGCTGAGCAAGCCACCAAGTTGCTTTCTTTCATGGCTTCTGCTTCAGTTTCTGCCTCCAGGTGTCTGCCTTGAATCCCTGTCCCAACTTCCTTCAGTGATGGAAGTGTAAGCCCATAAACTCTTTCCTCTCCAAATTGCTTTTGGTTGTGGTGTTTTTATCACAATAGAAATTCTCACCAAGACAGACATTAATATCAGGTTTATGGGATATTGTTCTTGATAGGCATGACCAATTTTTCAGGAGTACTTTGGAACTTTGGACCAGAAAAGCCATTGAGAGTTCAGGGCTTAATGAGCAATTGTGGGAATTAAGATAATGCTGAGAGCAGAGCAGATGATAGAGGCCTGGCTTTTGAAGTTTCAGAGGCAGTTTGAGAATCCCCTCATGACTCTATCAGGGCCATTTGATATTTTAAATTAGGAATCTGTGGTTCTGGTCAGATGGAATTGAAGAATTTGCTGTCATTAGGAGGCCAGAACTGCTAAAATATTTCCTATGCTCAAATTAATGATACTAGTCAGCTGGGGCTGAAGAATAAGCTATGATTAAGAGACCAACAGTATCAAGGAAGCAGAGTCTTCTAGGAAATGCTTCCTCAGAGTCAGCACACAGAAGATCTGGTCCTATGGGGACCAAGGCTGTATCTTGTGCTGGCAGGTTAATTTGGAATGTGTAAGAGTATCTTAGGAGCCGCGTGTTGGTGGCGCATGCCTTTAATCCCAGCACTCGGGAGGCAGAGGCAGGCGGATCTCTGTGAGTTCGAGGCCAGCCTGGTCTCCAGAGCGAGTGCCAGGATAGGCTCCAAAGCTACACAGAGAAACCCTGTCTCAAAAAGCCGGGGGGTAGGGGGGAGTATCCTAGGTAGTACTGTTTTTTGAAGGCATGAAGGAAACATGGAGAACACCTGAGGCCAGGAGAGGCCATTGGTGAAGGTACAAACTTAGTTGCATTAGGAGCCCCAGTGTGTGGCAGTGTTTAGGATCCTTGGAGAGAACTCAGAAGAGGTTACAGGTGAAGGTGCAATCCTGTTGCAATGGAGACCTCAGCATTTTAAAAATGCTAGTACCTTCGAAGGACCACTAAGGTCAGCAGCAAGTGTGGAATGGAGTTGACTTAAGCCTGTGGGAAAAGCTGTGTATACTATAGACGGTAGAGCCAGAGAAGCAGAGTGGCTCAGGCTGTGTAACCCTGGCTGTCCTGGAACTCACTCTGTAGACCAGGCTGACCTTTGCCTCCTGAGTGCTGGGATTAAAGATATGCACTACCACTGCCCAGCTACAATTCTTTCTTGAGGAAGGATTAGATAGAAGCACACACATTATGTGAAAGCATAAATATTAAATGTTCACTTAAAATGTCTTCTTTAGATGCTTCCTTAAAGCGTCATAGGTGAAACTTAATACCCCCCAACTAAAAAACGGCGTATCTCTTATCTGAAATAGTTGGGACAGCAAGAATGTCAGGGCTTCAATTATTTATTTGAAATATTTGCAATATATAGTAAAGTATCTTGGAGATAGAACCCCAAATCTAAATGTAAAGTTTGTATGTTATTCATATAAAAACAGGTAATTTTATACCCTACTTTTAGCATGCCTAAGTTTTGATTGCAATGCCATCACATGGACTTAGAGATTTTCACTTATGGGTTCATGCTAGTAGTCTTGCAATTCCTCCAGCACACCCACTATTTCCTGTGAGAAGAGTCTCACAGTTTAGATGCTTTTGTCCCATATGTATCCATTATTCGTTCTCTTTACCCAAGGCTCAGTAGAGTATCTCTTTTTCATAGATCCCTCACCTGTCAATGCCATCATCAAAGAGACTGCTGTTCTTCCTGGTCCTTTATTTTTATTCTTAGAATTTAACAACAGATAACATAGAATATATGTATTTATTATGTCTCTCCCACTAGAACCCAAATCAACTCTTTATTGACCATGGACTTACTTCCTGAATTTAAAATGAGTGGCATAGAATATGCATTCAGTAAATGCATAGTTTTAAAAATATTGTTTTGTCTTACTTTTTTTTTTTTTTTTTGAGACAGGGTCCCATGTAGCCCAGACTGGCTTCAAACTTCCTGTGTAACAGAGGCTGTTCTTCAATTCCTGATCTTCTTGCCAAGTATTGGGATTACATCTGTGTGTCACTGTTGTTTTTCGAGACAGGGTTTCTCTGCGTAATAGTCCTAACTCTCACTTTGTAGCCCAGCCACAATGTTATCTTATTACAATAGTCTTTACATGTTGGTGAAAAACCAATAGTATGCAATATAGTGTTGATTTTTGTTGTTGTTGTTGTTTTGATTTGGAGCTCTGGAACTCTGGAAATCAGGCTAGCCTTGAACTCATAGAGATCCACCTGCCTCTGCCTACAGAGTGCTGGGGTATTAAAGGCGTGCACCATCACCACCCAGCTAGTGTTGATTTTTTAAGTAGAAATACAAGAATATTTTTTACATGTGCCTAATTGTACTGGAAAGGAAATTAACACAAATGTTATTTTTTAAGGCTGTATGTGAAGCACCGTTAGTGGACTGGACACTTACTACTTTTTATGGTTAATGACTGCCTATTAGGTAAGTACTTTTACTTTATACACTTAGTAGACATGTGTACTTCCATGCATTAAACATTTGGGCTGTCCCTAAGGATTTATTGACCAGGGCCAACAACTCCACCCTAAGCAACGTTATGTACACAGATAATCGGAGTAACTCATCCTTTCTCCATAAGAGTGCTTAGGTAGACTCTCCCCAAAGTCCAGACCCCTGCTTTGTAAGACTGGGTCTTTAGGAGATGTTGACTGAGTCTCTGCAATGTTTTCCGAACATGTCTTGTTCTTTAACTAGAGGACTGGATTTGGAGGATGCTTATTCCCAAGTTTTAGAGGTATCAATCCCCTTCCCGTTTTTTTCCCCCTAATTTCAGACCTGAGAAGAAAAATACACAGTTGAAGAGGTTCTAGAATATCCTTGCTTACTCCGCAGAGAGGTCCAAGGCACAGAATGACACACGTCAAACTTGATACCCCTCGGAAATGAGAGGCGCAAGGAACCCGGAAATACCCGACACGCGCTTCCGTCCCACACAGGGGCAAACCGCCCCTCCTACGCATGCGTAGATTGCTCGGCGCTCGCTCGCCCTTCCAGAGCAGGCCATCCCGATGTCCCTCCCAGCGAAGCAGAGGGAGGAGTTACGGGGCTACTGGAAGCCCCGCCTCTGCCGTGACGTCTAGAGACGCGACGCGTCGCCACGCAAGGCAAATCGGGAAGAGGGATGAGCTGCGCAGGCCTGCGTCTGAGAGCGAAGGCTCGTTCTCTTTCGGGTGGTGGGCGATGGGCGTCGGGCGAGGAGGCCGGCGTTAGCGGAGCGCGGGCGCTGCGGTGAGTGCGTCCAGGCTCCGGCCCCGGTTCCCGGGGATGGCGTCCGCCAGCTGCTGGTCATCCGGGAGACGAGCCCCGTCCGCGGAGGGGTGGGACAACCCCAGACAACTGGCTGGCCCAGCAAGGGCCCGCACTCCTGGTCTCTCGCGTTGTCCTCCTACGGTTGCCCGTCTCAGAGGGTGGCCTTGGCCAGTTCTCCTTTCTCTTGGACACTAGACCCGACTTTGGTCTTCTTCCTTTTGCTTCTGTGTTTTGGTTTTGTGCTACCTACAATCCCAGGCCTGACCACAACAACTTGTCATGTTTTTCCTAATAACTGTGACCTAGTCACGCAAGTTTTTAGTGAAGAACAAGAAGTGAATTAAACAGACTCCTCACACTTAAAACTTATTCAAAGAGGGGGTTTTCTTTTCCTAAGATGTGCCTTCGATTGTAGACTTGTGGCACAGTCAAGTTCATTTCAACTCGTATGTCCTGAGGGAATTGTCAGAACCCCAGATTGCAGTTCATTTACTTACAAAGCTGCAGACCCGGTTCCTAGGTTTAGGTCTTGTTTTCAGTTTACTCTGTGACCTTGACCAAGTCAGTCATTCAAGAAATATTTACTTGACTCACAGAGGTGTTGCAGAGTCTAAGGAGTTTAATATTTATTAAAAGCTCTAGGGTTACGGATCATAATAATGCCTACCTAACTGAAGGATGCAATTCTTGTTTGGAAGTCGCTTTTTAGAATAGGCTGGCCTCGAACTCAGAGAGATACACCTGCCCCCACCTCTGGAGTGCTGGAACTAAAGACATGCACCACCACACTCAGCTCCCCGTGTTGTTTTTTTAAAAGACCTCTGCTGCTTAGCTTTGTGAGTAGGTTTTGCTGCATTTCAACTCTTTCTGTTTAAGACTCCCTGTTGTCAGTCAGTCAGTCATGCTGGATTTAGGTAGTTTCTCATCTATAGAGTACCGTGCCAATATGGTGATAGTGACTCTATTCATGCTTCTTTAATTACATTTAATTATAACTAATAATTAGGATATATCTTAATTATGCCATATTATTGTAGATAGTGAAAATGTATATTCCTGATCTTTTGACTACATATTAGATTCGTCTTTTAAAGTTGAATTGCAAGTACCTTTCAGTTATGAATAATTGCTCGTAGATAGAAATAAGAAAAACTAACAAGAATATTTAAAGGTGTCTTTTTTATTTAACTTGTTGATTTATTTGCTTGAAGTTTATTAATCATTATGATCTTTTGTTTGTTGATAATATAAATGGGATAGAATCCAGAGAGCTTTGTAAATAAGACAGCTGTAAAATAAAACCAGTACATCAAACTTTATTCATAAAATGCTTAGTATCCTAATTTTCTAAAGGGAATAAGACTTATTTTGGCTCACAGTTTGAGTGGCTTCTGCCCAAGATTGGTTAGACCCATTGTTTTGTGTCTGAGGTGAAGCAGAGTATCTTGGTGGTAAGAGTATGCCATAGAAATTGTTCACCTTATGGCAGTCAAGAAGCAGAAGGTTTGCATTTAATTTTGTTACAAAAATAATCGACTGAGTTTAGAGTTATCAGAAAGTTCAACTTGGACTGGTTTTCAAGATTGCTCATTCATCTGGATAGTTGTTGATGTTAGTTGCAGCTGGGAATGATAACTACATACAGCCTCTTTGTGTGGCTTGGCCTTCAGGCAGAAAATGGAAGCTGTCAGTCTCCGAAAAGCCTGTACCAGGAAATTGGTACATTAGTTTCAAAAATATCCTATAGGTTAGATCAATCAAAGAGCCCTCCCCATCAGATGGTAGTCTTACACCATTTTTGTGTTTATGTATGTTTGGTACTAGGGCACCCAGGGCATGGCACATACATATCAAAGCACTGCTATGACCTGTTATACCCACAGCCTGACTTCTACCTTTTAAAACAAAAAGCTCTCAAAACCACTTTATAGGCTTCTGACATGTATGCATCAGTGGACACCCATATACAACACACATAACTGTATTTTGTATGTATGGAATATTCTAAATACTTAACCAAATATAATCCAAATATGTATATAATTGCTCTTAGAAACTAGGGGTATTTCCTTCCTTTCTTTTCCTCAGCATTCTAATATTTTTATTCTAGTTCCTTAGAATTCTTCTTTTCCTAGTTTAGCATTATACTTTCCTTCATTGCAATAATGTCTATTCTTTTTCTGAATCTTTCTTTAGAATGCTGAGTTTGGGGCCTTAAGTAAAATACTGGCTGTAGAAAAACAAGGGTTCAATTCCTTGGTGATTTATTTTCTTGATTTTAATAATTAGGATATAATGTCTATGGGTTTTTATTGTGCATATTTTTGAAAGTGTCTTACTGTGACCAAGGCTGGCCTCTAACTCCTAGGCTTTAGAGATCCTCCTGCCTTAGCATCCTCAGGTAGGTGGAATTAGATGCATGCCACTGTCCAATGTCTGTGTTTTTAAAGAGTATTATATGTGTTTTAAAACATACTACATAAAAACAAGGAAAATATGATTATTGTAAAATGCCCTTTCCAGACTCAAATTTGGGGTGCTTAGACCCTGGCTTCAGACCCAAAATTGAAGCATATAGAGCCTTTAGGAGGTGAGGCCTGACTGGTAGAAGTTTGTTGCTGGGGGTAGCTTGTTGAAGGTTGTTCCAACCCATGGTTCCCCCAGACCTGCCAGATTAGAGGAGCTGCTTCAGCATACTCTTGCTGCCATAAACCCTGTCGTAACTTTCCCTGCTATGATGGGCTGAAATTCCTCCAAAATAGTGAGCCAAAAATATCTTAAGTCATTTTAGGTATTTTGTCACAGAATAAAAGCAATACAATATCATTTTCAGTGACAGTATGTTGTACTCTCCCAAGAGGGATTTTATAAAAAGGTTTATTTAGTTTTTATTTGTATGGGTGTTTTGCCTGTATGTATGTCTGTGCACCATGTGTGTGCCTGGTGCCTGGAGAGGCCAGAAGAGAGTTTTGGATTCCCTGGAACTTGAGTGAACTGCTATGTAGTTGCTGGGAACTGAACCTGGGTTCTCAGCAAAAGCAGCCAGTGCTCTTAACTAATGAGCAACTTTTCTCTGCCTGAAACTGAGGTTTTTAAATTAACACAATATTTCTGTTTAGGCCCCATTGTTTAGATACTGTTCTCTTATGTATACTCAACTGAGCTACTCACTTTCCTAAAAATTGGTGGTTCTTTGGGAGCAGTTTCCTAACTAGAACTCTGAGCATTGTTCAGAGCATTTGTTTAGCAGGGCTAGAGAAAGAAAGAGGAATCTTAGTATCTTGTGGACAGGGGCTAGAGATGCTGCCAAATGTCCTACACTGTGTAGAGCAGGCTCCACAATAAAAGTTCAGTCTGTCTGAAATGTGAGAATGCAAAGGTTCAAAAGTGCTTTTCACAATGATCAGTTTTTAAACTACAATTTGTGTTTTTGTTTTGTTTTGTTTTGTTTTCTACATTTTTTGTTGTTGGTTTGCTTGTTGGGTTGTTTTTGAGACATGATCTTTTTATGAGCCTGAGGTAGCATTGAACTCACCCACCCTCTAGCTTCAGCCTCTTGAGTAGGCATACACCACAGTATAATGCTCATTTTGAATATTTGTTATTGTTAATTAGTAACATTAGTGTTCTTCCCTTTTCACAGAAGGAAAATTGGGTAATGTAGGCAAGTGAAAATACTGTTTTAATCACTGAATCACCAAAGCAGTGTACCTAATTTGTTCTTTCCTGTCGTGCCTTTACCATTCTTATAGTACTGTTCCCTTATTCCCGTCTCTTTCATATCTATCTTGTATTTACCCATTTTGGCCATCATGGGGTAATATTGACTTTACTGCTTGCTAAGTAAAATGTAAACATTTCTGGATGACTTCACCGATCCTCGATTCTGTGACTATATTTCCTTAACTAATGTATTGTTAGCTAGCAGCTATTAAGTGTTGACTGAGGATTATTAAAAGTAGATTATTGCTTAGTGATTCTATAGTTTGCCTTACTTTTCTTCATTGTTTTCCCATAGTAATTTGTCAATTTATTTCTTTGTGGTACTTCCCTTCTGAAATGTTTCCTTTCTCACCTCAGTTCTGTCATTTCAGCCAAATTGTTACTTGGGTCAAAACTGTACTGAACAAGCAGTATATAGGTAATGAACACAGTAGGACTCAAGACTAAGAAATAAACTCCACGAACTGGAACATCAGAGACAGAGGGGAAACTTAAGCTGGCCCTGAAAGAGGAAGGGGACAACATTGAAAAAGACACTGTGGGCTGGCCAAAGCTCTCTCTTTCTAGCCAAACTGGATTTTCTTTCCTGGAGTCTTGCTAGTGACCAGAGTCATATTAATATATAGTGGGACAATTGATATTAGACATATGTGACTAGATCCCTGTTCTCTATGTGCTATAGAACAGTGCTGTTCAGAGTCTGAATCATTGAAGGTTCCACCTTACCTTCAGTGATGAGACATGGCTGCATTAAGTAGCCTGCCTAGTCTTCTGCATTCCTTAGGATATAAAAGCTTGCCTTAGCATGGAAGTCTGATCACGATAAAAGTCAGTGTGTTTAATTGTTTCACATCTTCACAAGCTTGTTTTGTCACAGACTAGAGAGAAGTAGTTCCCCAATCAGTATTGGTCTTTGGACTACATTTGGAGTAGCACTTCTGTCATGTGAGCAATTGAGTTCTTGTTTTGTTTTGAGACATTGCCTTGCTCTCCAGCTTAGGCAGGCTTGAATTCTCAGTTCTCCTGCCTCAGCTTCCAAGGTGCCAGGATTTCAGGCAAGCACCACATCTAGCTACTTTGTTTAGTTTACAATCTTTTTTTTTTTTTTGAAGAATTGCATAATTTTGCTAAGTTGTATGTTTAAGGCCAACCCTGTTTCAAATGGGGGAGGGGGGTAATGTGTGTGTGTGTGTATCTCCTCATTTGTCCAAAAAGCCATTGCTAACAACCTTAGTGACATCATTTCATGCTATGTCTGATCATCTTGTCATGATCTTTGTAGTGTTTATTGTATATATTTCCTCTATTCCATTTCTGTTGCCCTAATTCTAACCTCCATCCTTCTTTCTCTACTGTTGTTAACAAATTGTTACAATAGACAACTAAGATTTTCTTTCTTGGGTCTTAAAGCCCATCTTTGTACTCTTGTTTGTTGGAACTATACAACTTTTTTCAGAACCCTGCTGTGACTCTGCCATTACCTTTAAAAACAAGGCCAGTACTAATGTGCCTTTCAAGACCTTTTATGACCAGTGTGGAGACTGTTTTTGTGACTTTAGCTGATTCCTAGAGGTGCGCTTGGTTTCTTGACCATACTGTTCCTCGTGTCCGTTAAAGCCATCTTCATCCAAGGGGATACATATATTCTCTCTTCTGATTACTTCCTATTCCCTCTGGTGATAATTTTCCTTCTTAATGTTTTTATTTGGAACACCATCTACTATTTTTGTTTCCACTGTTACAATTTTGTTTCACATTAATTTTTAAGCCTTGTGTGGAAATAACCTATTTTAATCCTTTAGCTTCTAAAAGCATAGTATTTATATAGTAGGCTATCTGTGAGTGTTAAAATTTAACTTTAAAGTAGCTAGTGACCTACTCTTTTAAAGTATCTATAATCTGACATGATTTGCACATTCTTTTAAAGATCCAAGCCTTATGGGCTAAAGAGATTTTAAGGGTACTGGCTGCTTTTCCAGATGACCCAAATTCTATTCCCATATGGCTTTTCACAGTACCTGTGACTCCAGTTCAAAGGGATCTGAGACCTTCTGTTTTTGAACTAGTGTTTATCCTTTGGGAGCCGATCTTATGTTGTCTTTGACACCAGTCTTTCAATACAGAACTTGCATGCCTGTGATTTACATCGATACTAAAATATTGATGCTGTCTGTGAGAATGAGGAAATCTAAGAGATCCTGTCATACCCTTTACTTAATGAATGTTCTTAGTTGGTTTGATGATGAATCATTTATGAATTGATACCTCATTAGAAGGACACATCCAATGTTGGTTAACCCATTTGTAGTGATGGTGTGGACAGAGACTATTTCTCCCCATTATTACATCTTTATACATAGGATTCAAGATAGGAGATAAAATGTACCAAGTTTTAAAGGCGAGATCATTGCTTCTAATTGCATACAACTCAAGTTATCAATTACTGTTTAGTTTAACATGTCCTTGTAGATGTATGGAGCAAGTATAGATAGAGAAAACAAAATGGTAAAAATGTGATTTTTTTTTTTTTTTAGAGAAAAATGGTTTGGTGACTAAGAATGTGGTAGTACTAACACAGAATTGAAAGGGATAAATCTAAAGAATTAGTGTGTAATACAGGAATGACTAGAGCCAAAGGAAACTGGAGTGCTTTTGGAGTTTCATGTAAGTGAACTAAGACCATTCTCTTAAATTGTACTTAACCTTTTAAAACGATTTTTTTTAGCCAGCAAACCCATTTAATCCCAGCACTTGGGAGACAAAGGCAGGCAAATCTTTGTGAGTTCCAGGCCAGCCTGGTCTACAAATAGAGTTCCAGGACAGCCAGGGTTACACAGAGAAACACTGTCTTGAAAAACAAAACAAAAAACAAATTAAAATTTTATTTTATGTATATGGCTGTTTTGCCTGCTTGTATATTTACATACCACTTTCGTGTTGGAACTCCTGGAATTGGAGTTACAGATGGTTGTGAGCCACCATGTGGGTGCTCAGAATTGAACACTGCTAGAACAGTTAGTGCTCTTAGCTTCTGAGCCATTTCTCTAGCGCCCCCCCCCATTATTCAGTCTTTTAGGGATTAGGTGTTTGTTGATTTCCATTTATATAATTAAATTGAATTTGATAGGATCATTTAGAGAGCAGAGAGAAATGATGGGAAAAATTAAAGTTGCACTTAAATGTATTAATGTAACTTATAATTCAAATTGTAATTAGTTCTGCATTACAGAAGACCACATATCGGGTCACCAAGGTTTTCATGTGTAGACACTTAGGATCTTACCAAGACACTCTACCTGAGTGCTTTGATCTGCTCCATCTCTAGGTATCTTTGTGAATATTCACAAACACAATTTAATTGTATACACCTTGCCATTCTTCATGCTTTCATTTTGTTTACTCCATGTTTTTTCTTCTGATCAGAATTTGACAGAGCATACCAGGAAACAAAGAATGCCACGGAACATCAAAGACTGTTTCAGAGTAAACCATAGTGTATTTTCTGGCAGGAGCAGAAATATGTTTTTTTGTTCCCAGCTCCATATAAACCTAGCTCTACCTACAACTTTTCTTTTTATAAACTGATACCAAGAAGAAAACAAAATATTTCAAGTCGAAAATTCTATATGTAATATGTATACAAACGTTTTTTTTTTTTTAAAGATTTTATTTATTATGTATACAGTCTTCTGCCTGCATGCCAGCAGAGGGCACCAGATCTTATCCAATGTGGTTGTGAGCCACCATGTGGTTGTTGGGAATTGAACTCAGGACCTCTGGAAGAACAGTCAGTGCTCTTAACCGCTGAGCCATCTCCCCAGCCTGGCAAACGTAGTTTTAACATACAAAAATATAAAAGTTCTTACTGTTCTGTTCTTTTTAATAGATATTTTGATATTGATGGGAAAACATTGATGGCCCAACAATCCATTTAGTTAATGAACATTTGAAAATAAGTATTGCTTATGCTTATACCATAGATATATGTGTATATATATGTATATATACGCGCGTGTGTGTGTGTGTGTGTGTGTGTGTGTGTGTGTGTATCTTAAAATAGATATTCAAGATAATTTAAAATGAACCCTGTTGGGGAAGGACACAGTTAAATAGTGGGTATTTGTTTTTGTTTTAATACAGTCTTACCGGGGAGAACAGATTGGTGATAAACTCATAAATCTTATCTCAGCCTCCCAATTGCTGGACTATGCCTGACAATATAGTAATAGTTTTGCTCTGTGTTTGTGGAGGGTGGTGATGGTGGTGTTGTTGTTCTTGCCGCCAAGCCAGGAATTCAATCCAGAGCATTGCATGTCAGGAAGTCACTTTGCCACTGAGCTAAATCCCTAATCCAGGAGCTTCTTTTTTCTTTCTTTCTTTCTTTCTTTCTTTCTTTCTTTCTTTCTTTCTTTCTTTTTTAACACTTACATTTTGCTAATGAGGATAATTAGTGAAATTGTTTGTTTTATTTTTAGGGAAGAACTACTTTGATGAACTACACCATCCCATGTTGAAGTAGAAAAGCAAGCATCATTCATCATGCCTGCTGTAGCTTCAGTTCCTAAAGAACTCTACCTCAGTTCTTCACTAAAAGACCTCAATAAGAAGACAGAAGTTAAACCTGAGAAAACCAGCACCAAGAAGTGTGTGCTTCTTGCTAGTTCGATTAAGTCATTAATTTTACTTCATTTCCTTATTATTTAGATTTAATGACTAGCCAATTTAAAACTTATTTGAAAAATAATGTGATTACAAGAGTAAAATAAATCCAGAGATGTTCTTAACTTTGTCTTAGCAGAATAAATGTTTGACTACTCAGATGTAAATTACCTGCTTCCTGGCCAATATGTATACTAGATGATAAATTTAAAAGAATATGAGAGTTCTACTAAAGCCATTTTGCCACAAACCATTTTCTTCTTTTAACTTTTAATTAAAGATTGTTTTTATTCTTGTATAGTACACATCTAAGTTAGGATGCTGGTATAGTCCTTCTCTAATTAAAAGGGGGGCTGTGACTGCTTTTTTGTCTAATTGTCCTGACTGGTTTTATGGCAGCTAAAGTCATCTGAAAGGAGGGACCCTAAATGAAAAAAACTGCCTCCATAAGATAGAGCTATAGAAAGTCAAGCCGGTAGGCTATTTTCTTAATTAGTGCATTATGGAAAAGGCCCAGCCCACTGAGGGTGGGAACAACTGTGAGCTGGTGGTCCTGGGTTCTATAAGAAAGCAGGCTTGAGGAAGGAGCAAGTCTGTAAGCAGCACTCCTCCATGCTCCGGCACCAGCTCCTGCCTCCAGGTTCTCCACAGATTTGAGTCCTGACTTGACTTCCCTCCATGGACTATGACTAGGGATGTGTGAGCCAAATAAACCCTTTCCTCCCTGAATTGCTTTGGTCATGGTCCTTCATCACAACAATAGAATCTCTAACTAAGATAGAAACATTATTCTGTAAGTTTTATTTTGTGCCAATTTGATACAATCTTCAACTTAATGATTTATGTGATTTCATTTCTCTGGGTATATACTTGCCATCTAAGGCACAGGTAGAAACTGTGCCTTTCCAAGAGAGGTTCCAACTTTCATGGTCAAATGGTTGACTGATTCTGATATTTGCTGGAAATATAAATTTGCTAAAAATAGGTTGTCCTTAAAATTATCAATTTTAGTAGTTAAGGAACAGAGAACAGTAAGAGGACTTTTTGTTCAATTTTATTTTCTCCAGCAAGAGAGATTTAGAGATTAATAAGTAATTAAATTATTATTCAGATGGAAATAAAGTTTTAGAAAGGTGGATCTAGCTACCACATTCCCTAGACTTAGGAAAAGTAGATCTTAGAGAACAAGGAGGAGCAATAGGTATTCTCTGATTGGAGATGAATAGGAGGTAACATGATCCCAAATGAACCAATGAAGACAAAACTAAAGAGACCTGTGTGGGTACAGGGGCATTTTTTTTTAATTTATCTATCTATTTTTATTTATTTGTATCTTTAACATCATGCCTCCTGATCCCACCCATCTCCCATCCCGACCCAAAATAAAACAATATAAAATTGAAGAGTAAAAGGGGGAAAAGAAGGAAGAAGGGGAAAATCTTGTCATAGAAGCTGCAGTGTGACACACTAAGTCACACAGTAAGCCATGTATTTTATCCATATATTTTTACATGCAGATGTTTATTGAAAGGACTCATTGGTCTATCTCAAGTACCTGGTCTCTGAGCACAGGGCCATTTTAATGAGTCATTTTCTCAAGGAAATAAATGAAAAATGAGGAGAGTGGTGAAAATGTAATTAAAAGTAAGGAGAGAAAATCCCAGAGAACATCATTGTTTCTTAATATTACCAGTAATAGAATGGCTTAAAAAACAAAAAACAAACTTTTTTATAGAAGAAATGGAGAAAGACTGTCTTACCCTTTTTTTTTTTTTTTTTTTTTTTTTTTTTTTTTTTTTTTTTTTTTTTTTTTTTAAATGTTTTGAGACCTGGTTTCTCTGTGTAACAGCTCTGACTGTCCTGTAACTTGCGTTGTAGACCAGGCTAGTCTTTCAATAAGATCCGCCTGCCTCTGCCTCCCAAGTGCTGGGATTAAAGGTGTGAGCCACCTGGCTGGCTTACTTCTTGAGCTAAATTGGTAAATGTGGAGTAACAAGGAAAGTAATTTTGTTTAACTCTTGTTATATTCCACCTTAAACTTTTCAAATACTAAGGAAAAGACTGCTGTAAAGGTTAGACCTAAGATAGTCATTCCTTTCTACCTGTCTATGGTTTATCTCTTAAGACTAGCTTAATCCCAGAAGGAAGGTATAAATTGTAACTGTGTGAAGTAATACAACCTAAATCATGAGATTTATCTTATCATGATTATCTGCAGAGTTTATATATGATGTGTATTTCCCCCCAACACCAAATATTTTAAATTTTCTCTTTTAAGTTATGTACACAGTGCTCAGAAGATCTTCAAGGCAGCAGAAGAATGCAGACTAGATCGTGATGAGGAAAGGGCCTATGTGCTTTATATGAAATATGTGGCAGTTTATAACCTTATCAAAAAAAGACCTGATTTCAAGCAACAGCAGGTACCTATTTTGCTTTTTTATTTGTTATTTTTGCATAACGGAACTACTGATTTCCTCTAAAAAGTTTTCATTAACTTTGAAATTTACTTTTGTTCACCCTTGCCTCTCTCCTGAGCCTGGCAATGCTAAGCAGAACTCTATCTCCATCATAACAGTAGATTTAGATCACATGATACCTTGACAATTTTAAATTCACATGTGACTGGGAAAAGCAAAGCAAAAACATAGTTTTGTTATTTTACAAGTATGTGAATGTTTACATTTGGCTTGGATCAGTCAGTATGTGTATGTAGCAGTATATAATTGGGTTGCTTTTTGTTGTAATAAATTATGACTAGGTGAAATTGAAGGATTGAGTTTATTCATGCACTGAATGGGAAAAATAATTGCTGAGTGCAGTGGCTCCTGCTGAAGTCTCACGTGAGCCCAAGAGTTCCAGGCCAGCTTGGACAACATAGATACTGTATCAGTAAATAAAACAGAGGGACTGGAGATATGGCTCAGCAGCTAAGAGTACTTTGTGCAGAAGACCCAGGTGTGGTTCCCAGTACCCACTTCAGATGACTTACTAATGCTCCTAACTCAGCTCTGGGGTATCCAGGGCAGCCTCCTTGGGTATCTGCACACATATGGCATACACCATACAACACACACATAAAATAAAAATAAGTAAGAATATGTTTTCAGTTGTGTTTTCATTTGTTATGTGCCAGCCCTTTTATTTGGCTGACATTGAAGCTGTGTTAGATGTGGCTTTAGAATTAAGAATAAGACTTCAGTGTCTCTTCATGTTTGTGTTTTCTTTTCTCTTTTGTTCTTAATCTGTTTAGCAGGTACTAGTCTTTCATTTTGCTGAAGTAGAAAGGGAGGGCAGTTGTGATATAAACAGAGAAACTGACAACTGGGATTGGTGTGGAGAGAAAAAAATGGTTGAACTTCCATTGTCCTAGAAACAGGCAAAATAATATATAGGTGGTGTTAAAGAATAGGAAGAATGCTATTAGTGTTCCCACCTTAGAAATGACCTTGTTATCACCTAGAAATAGCAAAATACTGCCTAGAGAATTCTTACCTCATAGCTATGCTGGCCTAGAGCTTACAGTCCCCCTGCCTCATTTCCAAACTGCTGCAATTTCAATGGTGCACCATCATGTCCAGCCATTCCAAATCAATATTAATATTTTATTTTGGCGGTTACAGTGGCACACTCTGTTAGCACTTGATACTTTATAGTACTTTACTTTGTTTTGTAGTGGGAAAGTTGACTTACAGAAAGAAGAAATTTTATTTGAAGTCCCCTTTCTTTCTCCCCAGAGTACTGTGACTGATAACATTTCTTTTCTTAGTAAAGAGGCATGCCTTTGGGCTGGAGAGATGGCACAGAGGTTAAGAGCACTGGCTGCTCTTCCAAAGGTCCTGAGTTCAATTCCCAGCAACTACATGGTGGTTCACAACCATCTATAATGAGATCTGGTACCCTCTTGTGTCATGCAGGCAGAACACTGAATACATAATAAATAAATAAAATCCAGAAAAACCAAACAAACATAATAAATAAAATCTTTAAAAAAAAAAAAAAAAAAAGAGGGATGCCTTTAATGGATAAGCTAATGGTAGTAAGTCATGTCTTCAACCAGCAAAGTTATGCTAATGGTTACTGGATTTTAGAGCAGTGTCACCATGCACTTAGGGGCTCATCTGCCTGCTCATAGATAGCTGAATTAGCCCTGCCATGGTAGAAAACATCTTCTAATATTTATAGGCATTCTTATCTGCAGATTAAGAACCCAGTGCCTGAATTCAAACACTTAAAATTGTTCATGTGAAACTGCCTTTAAAGTGGGCCAGCTGGTGAGATGGCTTGCTGCAGAGCCCAGTGACTTGATTCAATTCACTGGACCCACAGGTTGTTCTGCCTTCCACATGAGCTCTGGGGGGTGGTGTGTCACACCCTCCACCCCCACCCCCATCTTGTGCTTCCTAAAATAAATGCTTGGAAGGCTTGAGGATTGCTTAGCTTTGGTAGCCACTGTCTGCTGATGGGTCTGTTATTGGACTGATTTTGTGTATGATTTTTGCCTTCTTTTTAGAACTTAGAAATGCTTTTTCCTCTGGCAATGTTGGAATTACCTTTGTGGCTATCTGATCCTCCTCTTTGAATAGGTTGGAAGTAATTTTGATTAACGAGCTCTTTCCATTACCACAGTGCCTCTGAGTTTGTGAAAGTCAAGTTAGGAAGCTACCTGCAAAGGGTTAGCTAACTCAGGCTGTTACTTGGGATATTACAGTTGCTTGGTTCCCTGTTTGCTTGGTCTTTCTAGATTACCTCATCTTTCCTGTGTTAGCACTGTTTTTGTTCTATTTCATTTACTTTAGTCTTCCTAGTGTTTTTCAAGTCTGTGAGGTACCTAGATATTTTATAGTTAGAATACTCAAATTGTGTAGGGACAGAATATGTAACTGAATTCCTTCAGAGTTGTGTGTTTTCCCTCTCACTTTATGTTGCAGAGTATTTAAGTTGTAAGTAAGGGTTGTTAATGTAGTAGAGAGGGCACAATGATATAACTGAAACCTGCTCAATCCTGAACAGTGCTTTTCAGGGTCATTTGAAAAGGAAGAGAAGGAGTAAAAACCAGCATAGTAAATTCTCATGAAACTAGAGTTATATTTTAAAATTATCAACATTGCTGATAATCCTCTAGCAATCATTGGTCAACACCACACACACCCTTTTTTGGGTTTCGTTTTGTTTTGTTTTGTTTTGTTTTTTTAGACAGGGTCTCACTATGTAACCCAGCTGGCCTCAGACTCAAGAGATTCACCTGCTTCTGCCTCATGAGTGCTGGGGTTAAAAGTGTGTACCATTACACCCCCACTGACTAACCTTGTTACATAGGGAATCTGAGAGGAACAGGAAAGTTTACTGGTAAACCTGTGAAAAATTTTTAGTTGAGTAGGAATCGGGTGTTATCTCTCTACTGCTACTTGTCATATTATTGACAGTATCTATGCGGATAACTGTACCTCTAGGAAACCTCACTAATGTTAGAGGAATGCTGCCTCATAGTAATGAGTTCATGAAATTAAAACAAACGAGAATATTTTTGTTTTTACTTTGTGTTTTATTTTTGTAAGAAGTTTGCAATGATGATTGCATTAGACTTTTAAAAAACATATTGCACTTGTAGTTCAGTTGGTGCACTTTTGAATAAACTACACTTTTATTGGTATTACTTGGCAAAGAGCTTTTCTGACATAGGCATTAGAAAGTAAACAATCAAAGTATGATTTCTTTTAGTTTAAATAGATATGTGATAATGGTTACAGTGGATTTTCTTTGCCATCGCCACTCTTGTCCACTTCTCGTTGCTGAAGATGAGTCCTTTTATCTTCACGGTCCTCATTGCCTTATACACACACACACACACACACACACACACACACACACACACACACACGTTTTTTATTATTACTACTGCTGGTGATGAACTGTGCTAATAGGTTCTATTTACAAGGTCACAATAGCAGGTAGTGAAGTAGATCCGAAAAGCCTTGGTTGGAAAATTTCACTAACCACCTTTTGAAGTAGTTATTTAAAAAAACAAATTTCATTATGTTTGTTAGAAATTTCCACATTAAATCTTTTTTTTAGTTATATTATACTAATATTTCCTATTTATTTCAGAAATTCATGATTTCCTCAAATATAAAAATTGTTTTGGATGCCAACTATGCTGATTCTAGTTGCATGTAACTATTACAAATACAGATAGAAGCAAAAATATCTGTTTAATACAAGGAAACATGGCCTCTCATAGAAGAACACCCCCAAATTAGAATGAGTATGAGTAAAATCTGCTTTGCTCTCATAAACTCCTCAGCATTTATTTATAAGCAATAAGAATAGTGTTTACATTTAATGATTTCTTATAAATAAATTAAATGTATTACATAGGGGATTTTTTGCATACTGTTGATATACAGAGATACTTTTGAAACATTCGGGCAATAAATTGTGCATTTAAATAGGGTAGAAGTTTAAAACAAATACTTCTGCTTTCATGTAAACTTCCTTTTCTATAGGCACCATGATTTTAGTGTTGTACATAGCAACAGTGCTGTATCAGTGCCCATACTAACTGTGGAATGGTTTTCATATACTTTTAGGATTATTATCATTCAATACTCGGACCTGCAAACATCAAAAAAGCTGTTGAAGAAGCTGAAAGACTGTCCGAGAGCCTTAAACTGAGGTACTGACATTACTATAAATTCTGTAAAAAAAAAAAAAAATGCAAACTAGAAGATAATACTATTTAGGTTTGTTCATTTATATCTAACCATACCAATACCCCATTTCCTAGAAACAAGTTAACCGTGTAGTACCAAACTGAAAATCACTTTCTATATTGCCCATGTTGATGTGCCACATTAATATTCTTCATGAAAATTTTAGGTTGTTAAGATAGCACTGTTGTTTTACATTAGAAGTCACATCCATTTTTTCATATGTTAATGGTATTTGTAAAATTTTTGACAATAAGGGAATTTTAATTTTTCATATACTACATGATGTACTAAAAACTGCTATTGGATATAATCATTATAGAAATGAAGTATTTACTCTTAGTTTTAATCTCCCTATAGTTGCAAAAGTTACATATGCTTAAAAACAATCTAATTCCAGTATTTACCATGATTGTCTTACCAGGGTATGAAATGATTACACATTAAGACTGTGGAGATGGCTCAGCAGTTAAGAGCACTTGTTCTTTTAGAGAACTTGAGTTTGGTTCCCACTACCTACATTGGATAGCTTGCAGCCAACTATAACTCCAGCTCCAGGGGATGTGATGTTCTCTTTGGCCTGTATAGGCCCTTGTATACATGTGACAGACATGCATATACAGAAGTTGAAAAAGTATGTTTTTAAATTACAAATTAAAATCAGTATGCTACTCTGGAGAGATGACTCAATAGTGTGAGTTCATCTTGCACAGTCATGAGAACCTGCATCGTGATTCTGGCATCCACATAACATGCCAAGAATCCTGAAAATGCCTAAACTCCATCTCTGAAGGGTCATACACTTTTATTTTTATTTATTTATTTATTTATTTATTTTGGTTTTTCAGACAGGGTTTCTCTGTGGCTTTAGAGGCTATCCTTGAAGTAGCTCTTGTAGACCAGGCTGGTCTTGAACTCACAGAGATCCACCTGCCTCTGCCTCCCAAGTGCTAGGATTAAAGGCTTGCGCCACCCCCGACCCTCGGGTCATACACATTTTTAAAAAGTTTTTTTTTTTTAATTATTTTTGTATGTGTGAATGTCTTACCTGCATTTGTGTGCCATGTTCATGCAATGCCTAAAAAGGCCAGAAGAAGGCATCAGAACCCCTGGAACTGGGGTTAAAGCTTTTGTAAACTGCAGTATAGGTGCTGGGAACAGAACCTGGATCAGAAGCAAGAGCAGCAAGTCATCTCTCCATCCCCTCCCTCCCCACTTTGATTCCCATATATGTGCACTCACAAACATGCTGGTTCTCTCTCTCTCTCATACAATAAATACAAATTATCTTTTACAAAGACAGGATGCTGTATTTATTTTATTTTATTTTATTTTTCTGAGACAGGGTTTCTCTGGGTAGCCCTGGCTGTCCAGGAACTCACTCTGCAGACCAGGCTGACCTCAATCTCACAGAGATCCACCTTCCTCTGCCTCCCCAGTGCTTGCAGTCTCTTTTTCTTCTTATCTCATCACTTTTCATTGAGGAAATAACTCTCCAATTCATTGCTGAGAATACTCAGTGATAGAATGGGCTATGGAATTCCCTCTGGGGCTTTCTAATTATGAGGTTCTTCAGGGTGTTTGGGGTTTTCTTGTGTTTTAGTTTACTGTGAAGCTAACTGAGGAGAACCTTTTCAGTTTGTCTTCCCCTGCTTCCCCACATTTGGTTTCTTTCATTGGCTCTGTATTAGCATACTCTACACCTGTCCTTAGTGATTCTCTAGTCAGGTCAGGTCTTCCGTTTTGAGATTCTGACATCTCTTTGATGTTAGGATTCCTCTTGTCAGACTAATAGGCTGAGAAAGAGCAGGATGCTGGAAAGATGTTTTTTTTTTTTTCTTCTTCTTAATGTATAATTTACTTTTATTTTATGTTCATTGGTATTTTGCATGTATGTCTGTGTGAGGGTGTCAGAAGCCCTGGTACTGTAGTTACAGGCAGGTGTGAGCTGCCATGTGGGTGCTAGGAATTGAACCTGGATCCTTTGGAAGAGCAGCCAGTGCTGTTACTGCTGAGTCCAGCCCCAGCTAGCTAGAGTTTGGAGTTTAGGAAGGATCATAGCTTTAAGGTGAAAATTTTGGACTCCTCAACATTCATCTTCTGCTAAATTACTCCTAGTCATTGGTATTGTGGTATCTTACCTATCCACTGCTAGGGCAGACCAAGTTCCCAATTTCATAAAACACTAAAAAAATACCTAGTCAGTGCCTAGAAAACAAGTTTTAATATTACCTTGTGTTAGGTGAGAATTTGTCAAACACATGTGTTCATGTTCTTCTACCCATTTCTTTTATATCCATGTTACAGGTGATCTTAGGGTTAATTTGATCAAATCAGAAAGTATTAGAATCCCAGCAAAAGGGATTAGGGAGGCAGATAAAGGAACCAGAGGTCAATGCCAGATGGAGGGCAAGCCTTGATCTCACTTCAGGTTACCCAAAGTAGAAACAGTGTGAGATCTATGTAAGCATATTTACAGAGATCCACTGTAGTTATGGAATGGCAGATATGGTAAGGTGCAGATGACAGAGACAACAGGAAAGTGAATCTTGAAATTTCTTCATTTCTACTTTTAAATTAAATTCAGCCTGGTGGTCTTTTTTGTTCTGTTTCATTTTGGCAATACTGGGGGATAAACCCAAGACTTTGTGCATGCTAGGCAAGCACTCTACCACTGAGAGGCATCCTAGCCCTTGACTGTACTTCTTAGGGCAGACAGTTCCCATACTGTTACAGTATAGATTGCTGCTAGAGAAGAGGTCTGTAGCATGAGTACATGTATGGAGCCAGACTCCCGGGGTTTGAGTATCAGTTCTTCTACTCACTGTTGTGTGCTATTAGGCAAGTTACTTAGTCTTCCTCTGCTTGTGTTTCCTTATCCATAATTGGGATAAGAATAACTACCTGTGGTTGTTACTGTTAATCCTCAATTACAGAATCTAGAATTACTTGGGATATAGGTCTCTGGGTACATATGTGGGAGAGGCTTGATTGCGTTGAGGTTAGAAGACTCAACACTGTAGGACAGGTGGAGCCATTCCCTGGCTGGGATTCTGGGCTGTATAAATGGAAAAGCAGTTTGCATCATCTCTCTATTCCTCATTGTGGATGCAGTGTGATCAGCCGCTTCAAGCTCCTGCCATACTGATCTCCTTACTGATGGAGCTGTTAGCCAGAGTAAGTCCTTTCTCCCTTAAATCTCTTTAGTTCAGAGTATTTGAGCACATCAACAGAAAAAGAAACCAAGACACTACCTTACAGGGTTTCTTAATGTAGTAAGCAAATGTAAAACTTGTTTGTTAGACTGGTGCCTGGAGTGGATTCTGAGTGAGTGTTCCTTGCTGCTGTTGTTATTAACAATAGAAGCAGTCTTGGTCTGTGACGCCTTCCTTTATGGTCCTCTAATGGTTTGCATTGAAGGGTCCGGGTAAAACAGTTGCAGTTCCAAGTCTTTCATTTCTGTTTTATGATAGTAGAAATAGATGCTGGCACATGAAATAGGGAGAACAGTTTAAGGTTGACTTTCCACTGAAACAGTGTATAATGATGCTCAAGTGTGTTTAAGACATAACAGAAGTGAATATGCCAGAGATTTGAGAATACACTTATTTTTGTAGGTGCTTGTTGTTAAAGACAGAGGTCTCGCTGTAGCCCTAGCTGGCCTGAAATTCGCTGTGTAATTCAGGCTGCCCTGGAATCTACAGCATTCTCTCTCTGCTTCCTGAGTGCTAAGGCTAGAGGTATATACCACTGTGTCAGCTAACATACTGCATTTTATGAATCTAAGAGTATTGTTCTTCCAGTTTGCAAGCTGTGTCATTTATTTTTAACTATTTTCTAAATTGTCCTTTGACCCATGATTGTTTAGAAGTATGGTACTTAATGTTCAAATATGAGATTTTTCTGAGTATGTTACTGATTTCTATTTCAGTTTCATTATAGCTAGAGATATGCTGTCCTTAAACAGTCTTTGGTTCTACATGCAGCCTTTTCTTGGCCAATATGCATTGTGTACTTGAAAAGAAAGTGCAATGGCTGCACCATTATTTTTCTTTGTATTTTTCCTGTTTGGGCTTCACTGAGCTCTGTGTATCTGTAAATCTCTATCTTTTATCAAATTTGGAGAGTTTGAGGTTATTATTTCTTTAAATATTTTTTATTCTGTTTCATTCTCTTGCTGGCACTCCAGCTATACGTGTGAGAGGCCTTTGGTTTTTTGTTCAGGAAATCTATCTGAGGTTGTGTTCATTACCTTTTAAACCATTTTACAGAAATCCACAGTTTTGTTTTGTTTTGTTTGTTTGGTTTGGTTTTTCGAGACAGGGTTTCTCTGTGGCTTTAGAGGCTGTCCTGGAACTAGCTCTTGTAGACCAGGATGGTCTCAAGCTCACAGAGATCCGCCTGCCTCTGCCACCCGAGTGCTGGGATTAAAGGCGTGCGCCACCAACGCCTAGCTCATTCTCTCTCTTCTTAAACTGGAAAGTTTCTGTTGCTCTACCAATTTTCAGGTAGGTTTTAGATGCATTTTAATTCCAAGATTTCTGTTGGGCTATTTTATAGTATCTGCTTCTTTGAAGAGGTATAGCTCTGTTCTGAGTCTGTCATAGGTTTATCTTGGTCAGATTGTATCACTTGTCCTCCCTTTATGGATATCCTGTTTCCTTTTTATGGTATGTAGAGTAGTAGCTTTGGACATGGTGGGCTATGCAGGCTCTCAGCTCTTTGTTTCATTCCCTTGAAGAATGTTGGAGTATTTTGTTCTGGGAAGGTGGTGAACTTGACTGGAGTCAGATTTTTATAAACTGTCTAGCCTGTGGTAGCCAGCATCTGAAATGTCTCTTTAGCTTTTCTCTTTCAGAGTTAGCTCTCAGTGTATCCTCTATTTTGTTTGCAGATTTTTTTTTTTTTTTTTTTTTTTTTTCCGAGACAGAGTTTCTCTGTGTATTTTGGCATTCGCTATGGAGACCAGGCTGGCCTCGAACTCACAGAGATCCACCTGCCTCTGCCTCTGCCTCTGCCTCTGCCTCCCGAGTGCTGGGATTAAAGGCGTGAGCTACCAATGCCCAGCTATGCTCTATTCTTATTTAGTTTGGGTATTGGCTAGAGACATGGACAACTATGCAACGAGACTGGAACTATGGCTTTTCATAGGAGTTTTAGCTGCCTCCAGTCCTGTCATTAAGAACAAAGCCATCAAAATCAGAGAGCTTCACAGATGCTCTTCCCCTTCCCAGTCCATCACCCTGCCTGCTCCTTGTCTATGTGTCTTTCCACAGCTGTATCTTGTCGGTGGGGACATGTGTCTTCCATATACAGTATGGCATATGGAGGATAAATAGTATAAGCATGTAACAGAATAATAAAGTCAAAGTTTGATTCATTCTTTACTAACCGACCTGAGTCAATTATTACCCCCTTCTCCTCCATTCTGTGTTTTTCCCTCTCCCCCTTAACCATCTCTATCTCATTCTCCCCCCTCCCCCATTCTCTTAAATTCAGAACCAGCAGGCATTGCTATCATCACTAATGACAGGGTAAGCAAGGTTACAGGTCCTTGTTAGCATACATTCCCAAAAGTACTGCTTCTGATTCTATGGAGAATAGTTTAAATACCTTGTATTTCTGCAAATTGTAGTCACCATAGCGGGGTTAACTTCCGGCACATTAGACTTTTCAATGAAGCCATTCTTTTTAAGCCAATCTGTTCTTGACTTTGATAATGTCTCTCCACTTGGTGTGGATAATATCATTCTTGAATACCTTGTCTTAACATTTTGATCTAAATCAACACAGTTTTGATATTAGAATAATTTCTCTTGCAAAGAAAATCAAGAGTTTGTGTTTTAAAAAGGAAATTGTAGCAGATTTGATCATTAAAAATTTGAAATTAGTGTAAAGGCAAAATGAACATTAATAGAGAGCATAGCATTTATTTTCAGGGCTTTTGTGCAGTTTAAAGTAAGCATACAGCCAGCCTTGAGAGCAGATGTGTGTGGTTTGTTTGGGAACTCTACGACAATTCAATTTCAGTTGGACGGGGTGAGTTAAAGGCCATAAAGTGTGCCCAAGGCAGGACGCTAAGTACATGAAACATGAACTCCCTTAACTGTTCTCTGTCGTATTAATAAAAGAATTCTTCTTTCAACTAGATATGAAGAGGCTGAAGTTCGGAAAAAGCTTGAAGAAAAGGACAGACGGGAGGAAGAGCAGCTACAGCAGCAAAAAAGGCAGGAGGCAGGAAGAGAGGACAGCGGTGCTGTGGCCAAACGCTCTTTGGAGAATGTATCGGATTCCAAAAACAAAACCCAAAGGGTATTCCAAGTTTATTGTGTAAACAGTGGTTCTTTTTGCCAGGTGATGTGCCTGTAAGGAGTTGACGTGCCCCTGTAGAATTTTTTGAGGCAACAGGGATAACATTTCATGTGCTAAATTAGAAATTGAATCAAATGCCCCAGCTGCAGTTGGTTCTGGGCTTTCTTGTAAGCATCCACAGCAACATTGTTTTGGCCATCATTACAGCAGTGACTGTAAATTGAACTAGGGTGGGAAGAGAGGAAGCATTTGATTGTGATCTGGTCCATGTGAGGCTTGGACTCAGTTTGCTTGTTTGTCAAATCAAGATCTTGAAACAGGATCTCAGGTGTCTTTTGCCTCATTAAGAAATCTACATTTAAAAAAAAAACAAACAAACAAATCTACATTAAGAGAAGGATTTGGGCCAAGTGTGGGCTGGGCATGGTGGCACACACCTTTAATCCCAGCACTCAGGAGGCAAGTGGACCTTTGAGTTTGAAGCCAGCCTAGAGGTCTACAGAGTGAGTTCCATGACAGCCAGGGCTATACAGAGAAACCATATCCTGAAAAAACAAAAATAGAATAAATTTAAAAAGAAAGAAGGACTTGTTTGCTACTCTGTTTGGTCCCAAACAATTTTTGTTTCTGGAGTCTCATTCACTTTCATTCATTCAGTCCTTTTTCTATTCATTTTCCCTTTGTCTTTCTGTTGCTCTCTGCATTTCACGTAGTATTCCTAGCACATCGACAAGATCTCCTTATCAGAAGCCACCAGTCTCTGCCAGCTGTCACTGTGCCTCTTTACTTTCTCGGAAATTATTCTTCCTGAAGTACAAATCTCTTCTGGATTGTTGAAACCCTTGGAAACTTGCTGCTTTGTTTCCTCTGGTCTTGTGTGCATTTCGTTAGCTTTGTAGCAGTCCTGTCACTTGTGCATGGGTTACTCTTGTCATTCGGAAGCTGTTTCACTGGGCTGCCTACTTGGAAAAGATGAAGAAATGTCATCTTCCATTGTTGGAATTCATGATGTGTGGTGAAACCACTAACTTAGGGAAATGTTTGTCAATAGGTCAAGTGGCTGCTGTAACCAAATAACAGGACTTAAAAGAATGCTATGAAGGGAACTTTTTCATTTTGTTGCCTTTTCAAAAGTGGTCAGTTACTTTTTGTTTTGTTTTTAGTTGAGACAGAGTCTCTTGTAGCCCAGGCTAGTCCAGACTCACTCTGTAGGTAAGGCTGACCTTGAATTCCTGCTCCTCCCACCTCAACCTCCCAATTTCTAGGATTGTAAGCCTGTGTGATCACTCCTAATTAACAGGATGCTAGGACAAGCAAATGGCCAGCTGAGCTACATCTCCAGCTATTTCTCTGTTACTTTTACTTCAACATTTGCCCTGCTTTATCTGTTTCCTACACTTTTTCTTTTGTTGAGTATTTGAAAGCGAGTCTCTAGCTGCTTTGCTACTTTACTGCTGAACACTTCGCTATCCATCTCACATAACTACAGTCCTATATCCCACCCTGAATTTAAAAGTAACTCCTTAGTGTTGCCTGGTGTTGAATCTATATCAGACTTTCCTATCTGTCTCAACTTTCAAGTTGATTTGTTGAATCATGATGCAAAACTGTGAACAGGGTTTCTCTGTATTGCTTTGGAGCCTGGAACTCACTCTGTAGACCAGACTGGCCTGAAACTTAGAGAGATCCGCCTGCCTCTGCCTCCAGAGTGCTGTGACTAAAGGTGCATGCCATCAATGCCCTGCCCTTGTTATATCTCTTAAGGCTCTAAAATAATCTCCATTTGAGATTCTTTTCCTCTGAATTTTCATGCTGTGCACTTGACGGATTAGAGAAAGTGAACCATATCTTGTGTTGCTTCTTCCAGCTTGTAGGTTTTTCTTTATTTCCTGCGTGGTCAGGGCAAGTGCAACTTTTGTCTCATGACAAGAATTCTCTGCAGCTGGTGCCTGGTGTTTCGTATTGTGTCGTACTAGGAGGCAGATGATATTGTATACATAACTTGTGCAAATGTGTACATACATACAAGTGTGCTGCTAACTTGATCAATCTGTAGGTCCGGGTGGGTCCTCAGTTTTCTTGTCTGTAAAATGAGCTAGCATCTAACAGGGTTATCTCATGTAACCTTGTTAGAAAATGTAAACTATGTAAGTAGTATGTTTTATTTCTTGATTTTCCTTTAATTTTATAGTGGAAAACACCGACTAGAATAGCTAGAATTGCTGTTTCATTATAAGAAGCACTTTCTAATTAAGTACTTATTTTAAATTATATCTGGAACTTAGGAAAATTTGAGAATGAACAGTGATTCTGATATGCTACTGATTATTTTAGCTGCTTGCTAGTAAAAGAATATAGCAGAGCCCTTATGTATCTGAATTCTTAAGGGTGGAGGGCATTACTTCAAGGGCATTTCTTTGTATTGCACCCAGGTCTTCTTGCACAAGTACTCTACTACTGAGCTCTGTCCCTTTTTATGTGTGTTTTTATAAAATGCCATTCATTACTTGGCACACTGCATTTCCTAGTTTTCCATTGAAATGAAGTATTAAATTTGAGCCTGTTTTCCTGTGAAATTGAAACTCTCTTCCTCTGTGACCTAGATCAATGGTGAGAAGAGTGAAAAAGGAGGAACTGCAGAGAAAGGTAAGAAAGGATGTCTGTCAGTGTCTTTTCAAGTTGTTGTGGGTTTTCTCGGTGCGTCTCAGCACTTTCTCTGATCTCTGTATAGACTTGTGTTTTCCTATACTCTACAATATATTGAAATACTGTTAAGTTCTGTATTGATTTACTCGAGATATTTTATGAATATTTTAGCCTGGCATGATGAAATATGGTAATATGCAGTTTACTTATCTTTTGTAGATGCAGTAGTTAAATGTAGCATAGTGTTTGAGAGGATGGACTCTCAAAAGCTGCTCATTATCTTGAATATGATACTTAACCAACTCTACTTCAGTTCACCCATCTGTAAAGTGGGGTTGTATTATTTTCTTTTCCTGTTGCTAAGATAAAATACTCTGACAAGCTGGGCAGTGGTGGTGTACGCCTTTAATCCCAGAACTCGGGAGATAGAGGCAAGTGGATCTCTATGAGTTCAAGGCCAGCCTGATGTACAGAGCTAGTTTCAGGACAGTCAGGGTTACACAAAGAAACCCTGTCTCAGGAAAACAAAATAATAATAAATCAAACATGTAATACAAAGCACTTATTATCATACATTAAAAATAAACTAAGTAGTATAAAGTGCCTTCCTAGAAGCTGTTGTTGATTATCTTAAGATTAGTTTTCATCATTCATTCCTTTGTAGCCCATCATGCTTAGCTGTTATCCCTCTGGGTGGCTGCTGTTCTCTGCTTGTTTAGTCTGTTCGTTATCAAAATGATCTTGATGGTTTGAGAGGAAGAAAGGAGTTTTAGCAGTTACAGAAACAGCTTTCGTATCTGAAGTTCCATGTGATGGTTTTTGATCTTTCACTTCAAACTAACAAAAAATACCAACATAGAGAGTTTTGTTTGTTTTATTTTTGCCAAGTTGCGCGATGCATCCTAATTAAATAAATAATTGGGAATCTAAACATTCAAATAGTCCTCCTCATAGCACCTCTCCAGAAACTCAAAAAATAATTAGAAAAGATAAACTAGAACCTTCCTACCTTAGACTGGCTTTGAATTTTGTATGTAATCAGAGGATGACCTTGAACTTGGGTGCATGTACTCCACCATGCCCTGTTTGTGCAGTTGCTAGGGCCTGAACCGAGGCCTCAGGTGCTGGATAGTACCAGCTGAGCCACATCACAGCCCTTGATTTTATTAACTGTGTGTTTTGTGTGTGAACTGTTTTCTGTCTTAATAAGACGCATTTAATTTTCTTTATTTGAGATTAGTGATAGAATGGATGCCAGATACAGTGGTAACCTTGACATGAAGTTTATAATTGGGCAATGGGAGGAACGATGGAACCAAACCCAGAGCTGAGCACAGCTAGGCAGACACTATTCCATCAAGCTGTGTGTCCAGTCTGTGTATAAACAAGATATGGAATTAGTCTCTTAGTAAATGTTAACATGAATTATACTTAGTGTTAATGTAAAGGATAAAAAACGATGCGATGGGATGGCAAGTCTGATGCCAAGTATACTTTGCTATTCTGTGTTTGCTAATGTACCAGCAAATAGAACTGGGCATTTCTTGTTGTTTACTACTGTGTGTCTCGATTCCAAGGAGCAATCACAGCAAAGGAACTATATACAATGATGATGGATAAAAACATCAGTTTGATTATAATGGATGCTCGAAAAGCACAGGATTATCAGCATTCCTGTATCTCAGATTCTCTCAGTGTTCCTGAAGAAGCTATCAGTCCAGGGTAGGTTACTGTGTATTTGGATAGAAATGGAGGAGGAGTGGATCTCAGGGAGAGGGAATGGGGGGGGGGGGTCTGGTAGGAGAGGAGGGAGGGGAAACTACAGTGGGGATGTGATATATGAGAGAACAATAAATTAAAAAAATAATAAGGGCTGGGTGGTGGTGGTGCACGCCTTTAATCCCAGCACGTGGGAGGCAGAGGCTGGCAGACCTCTTGAGTTCAAGGACAACCTGGTCTACAGAGCAAGTTCCAGGATAACCAGGGCTACATAGAGAAAACCTGTCTTGAAAACCCAAAAAGAGGGGCTGGAGAGATGACTCAGAGGTTAAGAGCACTGACTGCTCTTCCAGAGGTCCTGAGTTCAATTCCCAGCAACCACATGGTGGCTCACAACCATCTGTTATGATCTGAAAATAAATAAATAAATAAATAAATAAATAAATAAATAAATAAATAAATAAATAAATAAATAAATAAATAAATAAATAAATAAATAAATAAATAAATAAATAAATAAATAAATAAATAAATAAATAAAATCTTTAAAAAAAAAAAAAGAAAAGAAAAGAAAAGAAAACCCAAAAAGAAACATAAATAAATAAAAGGGAGAGTCAGGGTCCTGTTACGCTAACAGACTGGCTTGAATTTGGTCCTCACACTTGGCCTCCCTAGTGTGTAAATGACTTCTTCCATTCAGCGTGTGTTTTGATAGTCATCTCCATCACTGTGTGTAAGTGCAGTGTGTTCATTCTCATTGCTCTGTATGTTCCCTTGGGTGACTACAATATAATTTACTTATCTGTTTTATTTTTAGACTTGACCTTTATACATTGGTTATGAATATATACAGAGACGTATGAATTTATTAAAATAAACAGTATAATTAAATTTATTGATTATTAAGTTACATTTTAAGGTAAACTATAGAGCAAATTATGAAGATAATACATGAGAAACTTAAATTTAGGAAACACTTCTTGAGTCTGTTATTTCCCAGCATATGTTCACTTGAAAACCTATCCTTAAAGGAGTGTGTAGGCAAATAAATGCCCCTTACTTAATAAATGCTCACATTCCATTCTCTGTAGGTCGTGCATCTTGATCTGTCTCTATAAGGACAGCTAAGATATGGTATTTTATATTAGCTCTTCCTCTTCATTTCCCAGTAGAGTAACATTGGTTTATTAGGAACAGGCTTATTTTGTTTTTAGTCCAGAGCCATTTTGTTTTATTTGTGGGTAAAAGTTTCACCAGTCCCACCTAGTGGTGGTGGCGCCTTTAATCCCAGCACTTGGGAGGCAGAGGCAGGCGGATCCAGCCTAGTCTATGGAGTGAGTGCCAGGACAGGCTCCAAAGCTTTACAGAGAAACCCTGTCTCGAAAAAGAAAAGAAAAAAAAAAAAAAAAAAGAAAGAAAGAAAAATGCAAGCAGGTTTCTCCAGTCTCATTCCGCTTGCTAGTATCGTCAGTTAAATACTGAAATACCTACTAATGCTGAATGGTTTCTAAGCACTGGCACCTTTTACCAAAGGAATGTTATTTATTCTGTCATTTCAGCAAATATTTATTCAGAGGTAGGATGGGTTACTGTGGTTCTAAGTGATGAGGCTAAACCTATGAACAGATAACAGTTATTGCCTTTGTAAAGCTTTAATTAAATAGGCAGATAAGATAGAAAAAAATGTTCTTTATGTTAATTAGTATGATGTGGTGGGTGGGTGGATATGTATTGGGATATGTGGGTGTGTCTGTCTGTCTTGGAGTAGACCCTAAAATTAGTTCCAGGAAGACTCACAGGAAAGTTCTTAGCAAGTGTTGAATATGTTGGGGAAATGGATGGTTTACATTCTGAGGTCAGGAATGGGTAGGAAACAGAGAATACAGCAAGAATAGAGGCCCTTAGGCAGGAGCATGTCTGAATAAATCAAGAATCAAAAGTCATGGCTGGTGTGAATGAGCAAAGGGGACAAGCAGTTAAAGAAGAGAAGGCAGCAGGAAGAGGATTGTGTTCTATGTAACGGCCCATGTTAAGGATGTGTGTAAGCTTCCATATGAGCAAAAGAGTAGCTGAACACTGCGTCTCCTGTGTAATTGAGAACATGCTGATGCAAGAATGTAAGCGTAGACCTGAGCTGTAACCGAGGACAGGCTGTAAGACCTCTATATGCCATGAATTCCCAGCTATAAAGTGGGAGTAATGTCTCCTGAGTGTACCTTTGTGAGGATTCAGTAAGATCCAAAGCATATAGAACAGGATCTGGCACACAGTAGGGCTGTGTGTGCTTGATAATTAAATTAAAACACACTGTTTAGTTATTATGTGTATAGATAGAAATGAGCTGAAATATGAGTGATGTTGCTGAGGTGATTCTTTAGTTTAGATTTGGCAGAGGAAATTGTCTGGATGATTTTCTGTTTTCAGTTTTGTAAACCCCCCCCCCCTTTTTTTTTTTTCCCCGAGACAGGGTTTTTCTCTGTGTAGCTTTGGAGCGTATCCTGGCACTCGCTCTGGAGACCAGGTTGGCCTCAAACTCATAGAAATCCGCCTGCCTCTGCCTCCCAAATTCTGGGATTAAAGGCGTGTGCCACCAATGCCCGGCTCCCCAATCTTTTAAAAAGGGTCAGAATTAAGTCTCTTTCCCTCCCTAATAATTACTAAAAGCACTAGCATGTAGTGACGGGTAGAGTAAAGCTTGTAGTGGTGTGACAGAGTGCGGGGATCATTTCTCCACTTTGCTCAATACAAATGCTCATTCGTTTCAGAGTCACTGCTAATTGGATTGAAGCAAACCTCTCAGATGATTCCAAAGACACTTGGAAAAAGAGGGGAAGTGTGGACTATGTGGTACTGCTCGACTGGTTTAGTTCAGCGAACGATTTGCTGCTTGGGACCACTCTGCGGAGTCTAAAAGATGCACTTTTCAAGGTGGGCAGCTCCCCTCGTTACTTGAACAAGTTTTGTCTGATTGTTGGGAAATGGTGGAGATTGCTTTTGACTGGTTCCACTAGACTTTCAAACCATCTGTATGCCTAGGAAGTTGTATTCAGTAACCATCTTAGAGGTGAACATTTAATATTGAAAGTCATAAGATGTTTTTGAGCCAGGACTCAGCTGCTCCAATTTTGGAAATTTTATTAAGGGAGATGAGATGTGTGCTTATCTTTGGTGTTTATTCCAGCATTGGGTACTGAACATGTGCAGATATTTTTACTGTCATCCTTCCCTAAACAATACCACACACACACACACACACACACACACACACACACACACACACACACAATAGTAATCACTATAAATGATACAACTGTTAGTGAGATTCATGAAAAAGAAAGAGCTGCAAATTAAGTGTTTCTTTGTTGAGCCGGACGTTGGCACAAGCCTTTAATCCCAGCACTCGGGAGGTAGAGGCGGAGGATCTCTGTGAGTTTGAGACCAGCCTGGTCTACAAGAGCTAGTTCCAGAATAGCCTCCAAAGCCACAGAAAAACCCTGTCTTGAAAAACCAAAAAAAAAAACCCAAAAGTTTCTTTGTTTTATAAAAATACATTTTGAAACGTGTATATATGTGTGAGAGTAGGAACTAACTCCAAATGTTAAGGGCTATCTCTAGGTGGTTAGGTTTTAGGTAGTTTTTGTCTTGGATTTATTTTATAGCTTTCCTTCTAAGATAATGGATTATTTGTTGGTTCTTAAAACTCCCGTTATTGATTTATATCTAATACTGCATTTAATGTTGGGTTTTGAATTTAATTCTTTGTTTTCATTTTGCTTGACAGCAAGTAGCTCTACATTTGGTCTTACTTTGGTTGTGGTTTTGCTGTCAAGAGACTGCTACTATCTTAAAAATATCCTGTCTTCATTTTGTAGTGGGAAAGTAAAACCGTCCTGCGCCATGAGCCTTTGGTGTTGGAGGGAGGCTATGAAAACTGGCTTCTTTGCTATCCGCAGTATACAACAAATGCTAAGGTCACTCCACCCCCTCGAAGCAAAACTGAAGAGGTGTCTGTCTCATGTATGTATGTGGAAATTTTTTTTTAATTGCTTCAATTCAGAATAAAACATATGTTCAGGGTAACCTTGCTTGTATATACCTTTGCCCTATTAAATGCTAGTTTGTTTGCAAATACAGAATAGGGGTTCATGTTTTCTTTAAGACTGTAGTGATTGCCATTTCACTCACATTTAGCTATCACAAAGAGCATGGGTAACAAAAATATTGTGTGTGGAGTTTGCTGTTGTTAAAAACATGCATTGTTCTTTTGGGGATTTTAGTGGATTTTACGTATCCTTCACTGGAAGAACCAGCTCCTCCCAAACTTCCTGCCCAGATGCCTCTTCCACCTATAGAAGTAGATGAAAATGCAGAATTGGTAACTGGCCGAGATGAAAAACCAAGACCACTGAACCATTCAGCTCTAGCTGGACCAAGTGCCCCTCCCACAGCTGAAGCTTCACCCATAATTCAGCCAATGCCTGCTACAAAGACTGTTCCACAGGTATTTTTTTTTTTTTTACTAACTTTGTTATCTTTTGTTTTGATACCATACTGACACATAATACAGAGAAAAGGTTTTATATGTAACCTGTGACACCTTATGAAACATCAGAAGGATATGTACATTGTGTCCCCTTTATTTTTACAAAAAGTTTTTATAATGATTCATTCTGGCTTTATTAGCTCACTTACAAGATTTCAATCCCAGCTGGTGGTCATTTCCCACAACCTGTAGCAAAGGCTTGTGTTCTGAAGTGAGCTGGGATTGCTTAACTGGTGACACTGTGCTGTGATTTGACCGGCACAGCTGTCCTGAAGAAGCTACCAAATGATTAGTCCCTCTTACAGATGGTCTGTAGGCCACACCACCCAGAGTTGAAGCCATCTCTGCATTCCTTCCCATGACTGTGATGCTGTACTGCTGACAGAGTACTGATGACAAGAGTACTACATCCTCGGGACAGGAGCAGAGTTTTACAGACAGAACATTTCAGTGTGGAACCCATCACTGTGGAGTGTGAACCTGTCACTGTGGAGGGTGGTTTGCTTGCTTTTGCATATGATAGATGTGAGATGCCAGTATTTTGGTTTTAAAACAGCATTTTAGTTCCATTTCATTGGAGTTTGAAATGTTAACAATAGGTAGTTAAGCTAGGTGGTAGTGGCCTTTAATCCCAACACTTGGGAGGCAGAGGCAGGTGGATCTGTGTGAGTTCAAGGCCAGCCTGTTCTGCAGCGCAAGTTTCAGTACAGGGTCCAAAGCTACACAGAGAAACTGTCTCAAAAAACAAAACAAAACAAAAAGTTATTTAAAACTTTAGCAAAGATGTTCAGAGCTTTTTGTTAAATTCTCTTTGAAGAAAAGTAATAAAACTTACCTATGTATTATTCAATATGAATTTGTAGCACTCAGTTTTCCTCAGGTAACATTTAATATTTGAAGTAGATGATGCTGATTTCTTTAGAGCTGTTGAAAGTCAGTGTCTTCATCATGTTTTAAGGTTATCTAATATTTCAGATTAAATCTTAAGAAGCAAATTGAATAAACAGGTTTCCTTAAAACAGAAATGTAAGAAATTACAAAGAAAATGTATATTATATGTCAAGTTAACCGACTAAACTGAATTCTAAATCTTTTATCCCAAGATGACTGAGAAATGTGCAGTTTGTTCAATGTATTTTGAGGTCCTTTGCACTTAAAATCTGAGAAGTGATAGAGGAAATTTCTGTATGAAATGCAAGTTTATAAGTGTGGGTAAGATGGTTGTCTGTAATGACTGAGAAACCAGTGTAGAGCCCAGCCAACCATTGCTCTGCTAGCCACTGGAGAGCAGAGCAGGAAGACTGAGTTTCTCTTCACGGAGAAGCAGCAGCTTTCTGAGCTCTAAGAGCTCAGTGGGGTTTGCAAATAACAGAGACAAGTAGAAAGCTAAATGACTGGGACCAGATGGCCATCTACCTGAATAGGTGAGGGTCTGTGTTGGACAGAGCACTGTGACAGTGCATGAGACTGGAGAACAGACACAGTGACAGAGACTTGAAGCTAATTTGAATTTTGTCCTATAGATATGGGGGACTGAAGAAAGAATTGTAAGTTTAAGGTATTAAGAGTAGGTTGTTTTAGCATGAGTTCTAATTGTTCTTAATAATAAAAAAACCTGGAGTCAGATATTAAGGGATGAAAGCTGAAAGATAGAGAAGCAGAGCAGCCAGCCATTAGAGTTCTTACTTCTTTGAAATCTCCAGGCTGGAAAGAGACTGAGCTAATGTCTCCTTCTACCTTATATTCTTCTCTCCATCCAGTTTTATCAATTCCTGTGTCTGTACAGACCTCCAGACCTCTATGATTAACTAGTGGCTAGCTCCACCCTCTGATCTTCAGGCAAGCTTTATTTGTTAGAGTACAAACAAGGTAAACCACAGGTTATGCTTTTCAGGCAGGGGAAGGGTGGGTGAGCCACCAGCCAGGAATGGAGCTTCAGTTTTGTTCTTGCTGTATTTTTAGTTGACTTTATCTCCACAGTGGTTCTGCCTGCTTCATTCTCAATTGTAGAAAGAATAAAAGAATATGTTTATTTGGGGGATTTGTTTGCTTATTTGAGAAAGTGAAAAGTCAAAATAAAAGTGAAAAGAAATTGGGATATTTCTTCTTTCACTAAATTTGTACTAATGGAAACAGAGTTCGTTTTCTAGCCATGCTGTATGGGTCATTCCTGGAAGGTGCTGAGTTCTCCTTTCTGTTTTTGCACATTGTATTTTCAGTGCTTACTTCCCACAATATAGTACTATTAATATGCTGTTAAATGCAGGTGGTAAACATGCAACTTATTAGGTGAGGAATTGAGGAAGGCAACTAATTAGAATCTCCTGAGGTTGTTATAGCAGCTAAGCAGATCCACATTCCAGAAATACGGCAACTCTCTTAATCAGCTGGCGGGACTGGGGAGAGCTCAGTCGCAAAAGTGCCTACTGTACAAGTATGAGGACCTGAATTCAGAGTCCCAACACCCACAACAAAGCCACATTACAGCATCACACAACTGAAATCCCAGGACTCAGGAGGCCAGAGAAAAGGAGTCTGGGGGTTTTCTGGCCTGATTGGTGAACTCCAGGTTCAATAAAAGGCTCTGTCTCAAAAAGTAAGATGGAGGGCCAACAAGATGGCTCAGCAGCTAAAGATGACTGAGTTTGATCTCTAGGTCCCATGTTGTAGGAGGAGAGAACCCACTCTATAGGTTGTCCTCTGACTACCCCCCAAAATATAAATAAGTAAATAAAATGTAATGATATAATTTAAAAAACAAAATAGTATGATGAAAAAGAGGACTGGTGAAATGGAGGCACTGATATATAGATCTGATGCTGTGAGTTCAGTCCCTGGATACTGTAAGATGGCAGAAGAGACCCAGCTTCTCAGAGTTGTCTTCTTACCTCCCCATTTGTCTCTCCATTCACACTCATGTGCATCATGCACACACACTAAATAATAAGTATGGTTTTGTACTAAAGAGTGAAAAGGCCAGGCTGTGGTGGTGCACACCTTTGATCCCAGCACTTGGGAGGCAGAGGCAGGTGGATCTCTGTGAGTTTGAGATCAGCCTGGTCTACAAGAGCTAGTTCCAGGACAGCCTCCAAAGCCACAGAGAAACCCTGTCTCGAAAAATTAAAAAAAAAGAGTGAAAAGTAAGCAGGCCATAATAAACTGGATTTTTATTTTATTATGTGTTAGTGTTAGTGCTTGAGTGTGTGTGTGTGCACTACAACCTAAATATAGTGAGTAACAATGTAAAATAGGATTTTATTAGACAAAAGGGAAACATGGTCAGATTGGTTAGAAAATGGTTACTTGGGTGGGTGAATGGCTGGGCAGGTAAAGGCACTGGCCAAATAAACCTGGTAACTTGAATTTGACCCCTAGAAAGGGCTCCATAAATGTGGGAGGAAAGAACCAACTCCAAAAAATTATCCTTTAATTTTCACACGTACTGGACATATGTTATGATACTATATTACATAATTTTTAAAATGAGGAAAAGTTAACTGGTCACTCTCAGCACAGTGAAGGGAAGTAACTAGAAATGGCCCTAAACAGGTGAGCAGGCAGTAGGAGTCTCTGCTGGAGTTCCGGAAGAGAGAATGTTAGGTACAGGCTTCCTGGCAGTTTCAGAGATGGAAGTAAAGCTGTGTGCAATTTCGCCAGGCAGCAGAACGCTGTAGGAAGAACACTGTTAGCTGACTGCTTTTACATGTTTAGAGAATGAAGAGAAGCTCCATGTTTGTTTCCTTTTGGGCCATATTGGGTGTGAGGTATTATGGAACACTATGTGGAAATGGGCAGGGGGTAGTTGGGTGTTTAGTAATGGAGCTTCATTCTCCTCTGTCAGGCCTAGGTGCTATGGTTGAGCATTAAGACATATGACTCATTGCAAACTAAAACTGAAGTAATACTTGTAAATTTTGCTGAGGCAGGAGGATTGTGGGTTTGAGGCTAACTTGACCTATGTGCAAGACCTTGCCTCAAAAACAAGACACAAGCCGGGCATTGGTGGCACATGCCTTTAATCCCAGCACTCGGGAGGCAGAGGCAGAGGCAGAGGCAGATGAATCTCTGTGAGTTCGAGGCCAGCCTGGTCTCCAGAGAGAGTGCCAGGATAGGCTCCAAAACTACACAGAGAAACCCTGTCTCCTGTCTCAAAAAAAAAAAAAAAAAAAAAAAAAAAAAAAAAAAAAAACAAAAAAAAAAAAAAAAAAAAAAAAAAAGACACAAAAAAAGCATGCTTTGTTGTTTGTGTTTCTCTAGGTTGACCGTACAAAAAAACCAACAGTGAGGTTGCCTGAAGATCATAGAATAAAATCTGAAAATACAGATCAGAGTGGAAGAGTTCTTCCTGATCGTTCCACCAAGCCAGTATTTCCCCCTCCAACTGCCATGTTAACAGATGAAGAAAAGGCCCGTATTCATGAAGAAATCGCACTTCGCATGGAGAAAAACAAGCAGGAGAAGGAACTTTGGGAAAGGCAGCAGAAGGAACAGAAAGAGAAGTTGAGGAGGGAGGAACAAGAACTCAAAGCTGGAAAGACAAAGGACTCAGAAGAACATGACATCGGTGAGAACCAACCAAAGGACGGACTAGAGAAGAGAGACAGCAAGCAGACCAAGATGGAAGAAAAAGAGCCCTCAGCAGACAGGGGCCAGGAAGAAGCCACAGGAACAAAAAGACCAAGTAAGAGTGAACATGAGGCTTCTGATGCCAAGATGTCTGTGGAAGGTAAAAGGTGTCCCACGTCAGGAGTGCAGAAGAGGCCGGCAGATGTGTCCCCTGTGTCTGTGTCAGGAGAGCTGAGTGCAAGCAAGGTAGGTAAAACCAACCAAAGGTAAATGTGTTTAAGATGGCAGTACAGTGGCCTTCCACAAACAGGGCAAGCATTCTGCATAGTGCTGTAGAGGGTGAAAAACTGTTCTGTCCCATTGGTATTTGCGTCCCTGCTCTTTTGAGGCCTGTGATAGTGTACATTAAATGGTTGGATGGCAACAGAATTTCTTTTGCCTGTAAAATGCCATGTCTATTTAGTTATTGCTACAAGTAGCTATATTCATTTCTGTGTTTGGTATGTAACCATCAAAAGACTATGATGAAATACAATCTCATGAGAGAGAGAGTGCCAATAGGTTAAGGTAGTTTATGTCTACTTAGAATGTGTAGTCTAGAGTTTATCTTTGCATATGATTGTGTCAGGTCTGTGTGATTTTTGTTTCTTCCAGTACATTTTAAATCAGTGTTACTTTTTTCTTTCCTTGACTCAAAAGTTGATTGCCTTAATTTTGGAGGGTATGTTTATGAAATGATACACTTTTAATTTGTCTTCATCGTGTGGTTAACCAGTGTCCTTTCCTCTTGAATGCTGTGTAACAGCTCATCCAAGTAAAGAGGAAACAGTTTTGGTAGTACAGAAATTACTTCCGTGGAAGCAAAGGCTTACCATACAGAATGTCAGGTTTTATACCTTCAAACAGTGCTTTAGGATCATGTGGGGACCTCACTGTAGAACAAAAGCTCAAACTGCCTGGGTGTACTGCACATGCCTTGTAGCCTCAGCTCACTCAGTGTCACTTAAACCCTGAGTTCACTCTGAGAGTAAAGTTAACCAGAGTACAGCCTGTGTGAAACATTTTAAACACCTACAATTAAAGAAATTAAGTTCTTAAGATACAAAAACCAGGTTGGTGGCGCACGCCTTTAATCCCAGCACTTGGGAGGCAGAGGCAGGTGGATCTCTGTGAGTTCTAGTTCAGCCTGGTCTACAGAGTGAGTTCTAGGACAGCCAGGGCTGTTACACGGAGAAAACCTGTCTTGAAAAACAGAAAACAACAACAACAAAAAGTTAAAAAAAAAAAAAAGAAAACACTCAAGGTATGCTGGGTATTCCCCAACATTCGTAGTGGTAGCCCCAATAGGATAGTGAGTTTGCAGGGGGGATCTTTGAGTTGAGGCTAGCCTGGTCTACAAAGTGAGTTCCAGAACAGTCAAGGCTACACAGAGAAACTTGAAAAACAAAACAAACAAAAAAGAAACTTAAAACCAAAAAAAAGCTTGACAGAATGTTTTCCTAAGCAATTGCCCATTTTACACCTGTCCACACATACTTGCATACTAGCAAAAACATCACAAAGATCAAAGTTGTAGCTTGTAATGTGAATGTACATTTCCCCAATGGCAGTGATGGCTTATTACTTCCACATCTGTGATATAGGACTTAATGTTTATCTTTGCTTTTGGTTTTCTGAGGAAGTCTCATAGAGCCCAGGCCGACTTTGAACTGGTGACTTTATTGCCTCTCCATTCCAAGAGGTGATATTACAAGCATGCATTATCACAGCCAGCTTATCTGTCCTTGACAAAATGTATATCCAAGTCATAGCCAACTTTTAAAGTAGATTGCCAGTTTTTACTGAGCTATATGAATTTATAATATTCTGGATAGAATCCTTTATTTGAAATAAAATTTATAGCCAGGTGGTGATGCACTCCTTTAATGCCAGCACTCGGGAGGCAGAGGCAGGAGGATGTCTGTGATTTCAAGGCCATCCTAGACTGACAGTTCTGGACAGACAGGTTCCAGACCTACAGGAAAACCCCTGTCTTGAAAAATAAATAAATAAAAAGAAAGAAAGAAAGAAAAGAAATAAGATTTTTAAATATTTTCTCCACTTTGAGGATTATCTTTCATTTATTTAAGGAAGTCTTACAAACAAAAATGTTTCTAAACATAGAAGCATCTGTAGTCAGTATAGAAGTTGATGCTTCAATGTATTGACCTGTATTTAGTTACGTAGAATATTCCATTATTTTTGTAAAATGGATATAGAAGAAGCCGTGTTTGGAGGGCAAGATGGTTTAGAATAGACCATGAGATAATCATCTGGTAAGTTTCCTTATTTATCTCTGTTGTCTTTTCTCCTTGCTGACCACTGTGGACATGGACACGGACACGGACGGACACACACACACAGAGAGAAGCTGTAATGCACTACTGCCAGGCTTCTGTGCACACTCATTTTAGTCATTGCAAACACAGTAACTGTAGAAATAGCCTGGTTAAAGTTTTAGGAATTGCTGTGTGACAGAGAAGAATCACACAGCTGTTAGTGAGTGTTCTGAAGAGGCTGTAACCTTTTAATGTTTCCAGCCTCTGAGTACAGTGTAGTCATTAATTACCTCATCTGCATCCTAGCTAGCAGCTCGAGTCCCTGCTTCCCTCTCAGCTTCCTTTGGAAAGCTCTAGAAATACTACATTTTTCATTTCACTCTCCTCTAACCCTTGGCATGGTAGACTGTGAGAACACAAAACTGCCTTCATCTTTGACTCTGTCTTATGAAAGGCAGTCAAGACAGGGTTTTGTTTGTTTTGTTTTTTGATTTCTTCAGAGTGTGTACTTTAAGTTCATGAATGGAAACTTTTAATTGGAGAGTCAGATTATTGTGTTTCAAACTAGGCTCAACGAGAACCTTTGACAAGAGCTCGAAGTGAAGAAATGGGGAGAATTGTACCAGGACTGCCTTCAGGCTGGGCCAAGGTAAACTGAAATACAAATTACTTTATTTTGAAAAGGTACTGTTGTCTAGTTAATTGTCCTTCTGCTTTGTTATAGAGAACATGAACTCTTCCCCCTGATTACTGCAGGGTGAAATCCCCTAATAGACATCCTCAGGTGCTGGCTGTCACATGAGCACCCTGCCAGGAGAATTTTGAAATTTAATATTCCGTTAAAGCAAGCCTAAATTTCATTGAAAGTTTTCAGAGTGATTACAACTCCTTTTCAAATTATTTTAGGGACTAATGTAATTGATAGAGTTTGTGCTTTAATCTTAGCTCGCATATGTGTTTTAACCTGGACGTAAATGTTGCAGTGGGGGTAACACTAATTACTTTAGAGCTTATCTGATTTTTTTTTTACCTTTTTGTTTGCTTTTCTTTTCCAAGTTTCTTGATCCAATCACTGGAACCTTTCGTTACTATCATTCACCTACCAACACGGTTCATATGTATCCACCAGAAATAGCTCCTTCCTCTGCACCTCCTTCCACCCCTCCTACTCACAAAGTCAAGCCTCAAATCCCTGCCGAACGGGACAGGGAGCCATCCAAACTGAAGCGCTCCTACTCATCCCCAGACATCACTCAGGCCCTGCAGGAAGAGGAGAGGAGGAGGCCAGCAGTGACCCCGACAGTCAACCGGGAAAACAAGTAAGCTCTCCCAATTACAGAACTAAGACCCTGTCATTGTTTTAAACCTGTTAAATGTCGCCACGTATGAGTTACAGTCTCAGAAGATTCCATTGTTATGATGGAGGGAAAAATATGAAACCAATGAGATGCCCTTGGCTTTTCCCCAAAATGCTGTCTTAACATAGGAGAGGATTAATGAATTTTATATTTGATGTAGGCATGAAAGTGTTACATATATTGTTACAGTGCTTTCACCCCATCATGCCCCAGGCCTCCACTCATCTCTCATAGATCATAATCTTAATTAATGAAAGAAAAGTGTCTGTGTGTGTGTTTGTAAAAGAGAGATTTCAGTTCTCTCATCTACTGTGTGGGTCCTGAGGATTGAGCTCAGGTGATGTTGTAGCAAGCGCCTTTATCTGCTGGGCTGTCTGACCGCACAAGGAGGTAATTTACAGGGCTGCTGCGTTGGCAGGGTTACAGTGCTCAGTATCCAGCCTTTGTTTCTCTCACCAGTCATGGAGGACGACAGTCTCCTGTCTAAAAATGCAGGCACCATCCGGGCTCCTTTCCTCTGTCTCGTTTCTCCTTTTCTATTCTCATCTCTACTCACAGTGGGATATCACAGCAGGGTTAAGTTTCTCAAAGTAGCATGTCATGTACTTGTGTTTCTCTTTGTAAGTGATAAAAATTGGTCACTTTGTGGGGGTGGTAGAGATGCAACTGGCCTTTCATGTCCATGGTGTCTGGGCTGGAGTGTAGCTCAGTTGGCAGAACAATTGCTTAGCATCCCAAATCCTGGGATTGATCCCCAATACTGTATATAAACCAGTCATGGTGAGGTATACCTGTAAGAACAGCACTCAGGAAATGGAGACAGGAGGGGTAAAAGTTCATCAAGGTCATCCTCAGCCATATAACAAGTTTGAGGCCAGTCTGGGCTACATGAGACCCTGTCTTAAAAAAAAAAAAAAAAAAACGAAAGCAAGAACAAATTGAGTAGTTTCTGCATCTAGGAACTTAAACGTTTTTTAACACAGCATAACAGCTGTTTACATTATAACAACTATTATGAATAATCAGAAGTGGTTTAAAGGAAACAAGAAGATGTGCATAGGTCAATGAGACACCATAGCATTTTGTCTCGGGCATAGACTATCCTTGCCTGCTGTTTACTGTAGGGGTCTTGGATAATGGTTTGGTGTATTTGTAAAGTGACTTTTTTTTTTCATGTGTTATATACTATTTGTTAATTACTAAGAATTTTCTATTTATTTTTTCTGGCACATCCCAAGGAAGTAATTGGTCACTTCCCAAACTTCACCTTGCTAGGAAGAGACCTATTTGAAAGAACTTTGGAATTAGTACAATCCAGATGTTAGAAATCTTCACACTGTAATGTTATTAAAGTTCATTAATTTGGCAGTATTTTGAAGCTATCTCATATACAATTCATGTATTTTGTCTTAATAAGAGGGACACATGAACAGAGAAAGAGCATGTAAAGAAAGCTGGGATAGTTTGCTAATTTTCCATATTTCCCTCACAGGTAGGGAACACTAAGTGAGGATCAGCAGGACAAGGACCATCCCCTAGTCAGGTCCCCTTCACTGCAGTGCTATGGGCACATGCACAGAAGCCAGGGGCACCTTCATCCCAGCAGAGCCCAGCAGATGCCTCTTTCTGACCAGAATTTCTAATTTTTAATTGAGTGTGGCCATCCATGTGTGACTTTGAGGGTGCAGGCATAGTTAGGTAATAGTACCCAGATGATCTCTGTCTCATTTGAAGCCTGTTTTATAATTATATAAACAAGATGCACTTGTATTCTAATTTTTTTCTTTGCAAGAGTGTGAATATCTGCCTCTTTACTTTTTAAATATTTTACGTGTGGCAGTGTTTTGTATCTTGTATGTCTGTGTACCATGTATATGCCTGGTGCCCTTGGAGACCAGCAGAGGGCATCAGGTCCCCCAGACATGGAGTTACAGATGACTGTGATCCACCATGTGGGTGCTGGGAATTTAACCCAGATCTACTAGAAGAGCAGCAGTGCTCTTAATCACTGAGTCAGCTCAACAGCCCTCTCTTTAATTCTTAAGTATATAATAATATCTACAATAGTGTAAATGCGGTGCAGATACAGTATTAAGGAAATAGTGACAAGAAAAATGTCTGCATACACTCAGTTCGGACACTGTCCTACTCTCCCCACCCCAAACTCCCAGCCTCCCACTGCTTCCTTCTGCCTCCAGTGATCCCTTCATGTCTCATGTGTTCTGTTGTTCTCCCCAACCGCATTTCCTTAGTTTCTTTTTTGTTGTCTAGTGGGTTTCTTTCTACTCACCTTTATTGCCACTTAAATATATCATTTAGTCTTTAGCAGCTGGGATCTACATATGAGAGAACTCACTATATATTTGTCCTTCTATAATAAGCATATATTTTATAAGTATGTATGATTTTATTGTATTTAATTCTCTAATGTTCTGATTAAGTTAGGAGCATGCTAACCTCTCTGGGCTACTTAGAGAAGTTTGAAAGAGCTTTCTCCCTTTGGGCAGTAGCTCAGTCCCTGAAAGCTAGAGGACCTCTCGGACTACCTCAAGAACAAGAACTCACAGGAAAAGTTGTAGGCATGTATTTCATGGGAGGATCCTGGAACACAGTCAGTTAAGCTAATTGCTAAATGTCTTAGAAAACACAGCAGTTTAGCATGTGGATTGTGAACAAAATTATCACGAACCAGCTGCTCCAGCAGTCTGCCATCTTCAGTATGTACTCAAATGGAGATGCATAAGGCATCTGTTCTTTCTTCCTTAGGCCCAAAGCTGAGATCTCGAGACTTTCTGCTTCTCAGATTCGGAACCTCAATCCTGTTTTTGGAGGATCTGGACCAGCTCTTACTGGACTTCGTAATTTGGGGAATACCTGTTACATGAACTCAATATTGCAGTGCCTGTGTAATGCTCCACATTTGGCTGACTATTTCAACCGGAACTGCTACCAGGATGACATCAACAGGTAAAGGGACTTTCACTTCTACAGTACACTGGTAAAAGGTAGTCTAACTGCAATCTGTCTGCCTTACTCTGTTTGTATTGTTATAACAAAGAACCCAAGACTAGGTAATTTTTTTTTTTTTTTTTTTTTTTTTTTTGGGTTTTGAGATAGGGCTTCTCTGTGTAGCTTTGGAGCCTATCCTGGCACTGACTCTGGAAACCAGGCTGGCCTCGAACTCACAGAGATCCGCCTCTGCCTCCCGAGTGTTGGGATTAAAGGCGTGTGCCACCAACACCCGGCTGGTAATCTTTTTTTAATAAAAGAATTTTAATTTTTAAATTTTTATTTGTATGTCTGTGTGGATATGCCCAAACTAAGGCACGTGTACCAGCCAGCACACACGTGGAGTCAGAAGACAACTTTCAGGAATTGGTTCTTTCTAGTGTAGGCTGCAGGATCAAATCAGGTTGTCAGCTCACATGGTGAAAATCTTTACCGCTGAGTTTGTTTTCTCATAGTTGTAGAGATTGAGAGTCCAAGATGAGCGTGTCAGTATCTCATCTGTGCTGTCACAGTGTAGCAGGAGGTAGAAGGGCACAGGGTGAGCCCCTTCATTATGCCCTTTTTCAGCAAACCCAGTCTCAACCATTAGGTCATGTCCTTGCTTGTCACCTCTCAAAGTACTTTTGTGTGTGTGTGTGTTTGTGTGTGTGTGTATTTATGCATGTGTCTTTAGGAGTATATGCACACGTAAGTGTAAGTATCTGAGGAGTCCAGAAAAGAATGCCAAATCCCCGAACTAGAGTTATAGATAATTGTGAGCTACCATCTGGGTGTTAGAATCAAACCTGGGTCTTCTGCAAAAGCAACAGTTTCTCTTAAGGGCCTATTCCTAGTCTATGTGCAATACCTAAATTTTGGAGGGACATAGACTGTAGCACTTGCCACTCAGCCTCCGAGGAGTCAAATTAGTAAAAGAAAATTATCTTTATCTGCAAGAATACTGGATGGTTATCTCAGCTGGTCATAAAGGACGAACAAGATGGCAGACACTGTCAGGGTTACAGCTTCCATCTTTGACTGCTGCCTGTTGATGAGTGTGAGGAGCAGGGCTTGTAGCCAGGATAAGGAAGCCAGCTGGAGGACCACAGCAAAGTCAGGTTCAGATGTGTTTGGTGCAGGCCTGTAGGCGAGTGACTCCTTTGTGTATTGTGCATGTAGTTTTGTGCTGATATCAAGAACCCACTATAACTTTAAAATCTTTTCCCTTTATTTTTGGTACCTTTACTTGCACAGATCAAATTTGTTGGGGCATAAGGGTGAAGTGGCAGAAGAATTTGGTATAATCATGAAAGCGCTGTGGACAGGACAGTATAGATACATCAGTCCAAAAGACTTTAAAGTCACCATTGGGAAGATTAATGACCAGTTTGCAGGATCCAGCCAGCAAGATTCACAGGAACTGCTTCTGTTTCTCATGGATGGCCTCCATGAGGATCTAAATAAGGTATGAATGGCACTCCTAAGCTCTGCTTGCTTCCGTCTTTGTAGCAGTTTAAATCCCCATTCACCAGCCGTCCTTCTTTACAGACAGTGACCATACTGAGCATGAATCTGCGGAGCTCCCCAGAACAAAACCGAATGTTTGCATTTATACAATGAGACATGTTGGGACTGGAACCCTGGTCTCAGCATAAGTTTTCTATGTACGCATTTCCTCAAGTGGATTTTTTATAATATTTTTGAATAATTATTTTTTAGTGATTTTTTTTTTCTCATGGAGTATAATTTTCCACTGTGGCAGCATGCCATGTCTTGTATTCTTAGATTAGGAATGTGGAACCTGGATTTGAAAAGAAGTGTATAGTTATTTGCTCAAGTACTAATAGGAAATATTGAACAGTTTACAAGTGGTAAAATAGCTATTGCAGGTATTTTTATGACCCTCATGCTAATGAAAGCAAAGTCATGCATGGTTTTATTAAACAACTGTCTCCTGAGCATGTTTGTTCTTTATATATTATTGCATATTTGTGTGTTGTGTGTGTTCTACTCTGATGTTCTTAGACTTATCTTCCAAAACAAGAACTGCTCCATGTAACCAAATGGTGCATCTAAATGGTGCATTTATTAAAGCAGTATCTTTACATAAGGACTGCCTCCTTCTGTACACAGCTTCTCTTAGCACCAAGCTTGTTACCTGTTTCTTCAGAAAGCCTTTAAGGTCATGGTTTTCAATTGAATATAAATACAAAAATTCAAGCTATTTTGATGGCTCACACCTAAGGCTAGTACTCAGGAAATTGAGGCAAGAAGATTGTTACTTCAGGGACAACCTGGGGCTACATAGAGATTGTCTCAAGGAGTCAGATGTATGTAAATTCAAGAGCCTATACTGTTGTAACACTGAAATTGCATCTATTGGGTTTTAACTCTAATGCCTGGTTATGTGAGATGATGTCTTCTCTTCAGTGCCGTGCTATTGGGTTAGCAAGATGGCTCAGCTGGTGTAAAAGCTCTGGCAAAGCCAAGTCAGGTGACCTTGGTTTGATCCTCCAAACAAAAGTAAAGGAGGCAGGAGGGAATCACCTCCCACAGAACTGTCCTCCTACCCTCACGCACCTTGATAGATGTGCCTGTACACGTACCAGACCCACATACACTCTCAGTAATAACAGTAAAATCTCTTAAAAACCAACGGCGTTGACTTAAAACCTCTAATACATGTACATAATCTATTTCAAGTATTTCTACCCCATCTTAGTCTCTTGCTCCCCTCCCACTCTGGTTAATTCCTTTCTACCTTTCATACTTTTTTTTTCTTGTAATTCAGTGAGTTTCATTAATGATACTCACAGAACCATGATCGAGGTTTGTTTACTGGAACATGTGTACCTTGTCAGTGGTATGTCACTGAAGAAAATATCTCTCCTTCCTCCATTAATCAATCATTAACTGTAAATCCTCAGGGGAGTCGTCGGAAGCACCTTTCCCTTCGATGGTACTGGCCCAGTCTCGCTCACATCTGATGTGGGCAGTCACAACTTGTGTGTTAACTTTTGTGTTATACACACCTCTCTGCCCTCCTCTTCCTTCCACTATTTCTCCATGAACTTTAGAGTGGGTGATATGATGTTCCATTTATGGCTGGGCATTCAGCATTCATTCATTCTCAATACATTGACCAGTTATGAGTTTCTCCAGTCACCACTGACCCTGCAAGAATAGCTTCTACTCTGAAGCAGAATTGAGCAACTTTAAGTCAGTGGGTCAGTCTTCAGCGTTGACAGAAGTAGTTCAGGCCTCTTACACATTGCAAATAAAAAAGTCCAGAAGTTGTAATAAAAGCCAGGTGTGGCACACACCTTTAATCCTAACTCTTGGGAGGCAGAGGCAAGCAGATCCCTGAGGTCAAAGCCAGCCAGGTCTGCATAACAGTTCCAGGACAGCCAGAGCACCATAGTGAGACCCTGTCTCACAACAAAACAAAACAAAACAGAAAAGTTCAAGTCACACTCTTTTCAGTAAAGTGGGTTTTGGTTGGTAGAATTAATTTTTCTGGTAGTACTTACAAAACTCTTCAGTGTGGCTAAATCTGTAAAATGTCATTCCTTGAATGTCATATTTAACTGTCAATACCACCAAACTCTTAGATACTAACAGAACTGAGTGAGTTGTTCTCCTTCCTAGGCTGACAATCGGAAGAGGCATAAGGAAGAGAACAACGATCACCTCGATGACTTTAAAGCGGCAGAACATGCTTGGCAGAAGCACAAGCAGCTCAATGAATCCATCATTGTCGCACTTTTTCAGGGTCAGTTCAAATCCACAGTGCAGTGCCTCACCTGTCACAAAAAGTCTCGGACATTTGAGGCTTTCATGTATTTATCATTGCCGCTAGCATCCACAAGTAAATGCACATTACAGGTAAGTTTAAGATGAAGAGATAATGGGTTGGTAAAAATGTTATTTGTGTGTGCATAGCAAAATGCCTCATCCGCATAGGAAAATAGGTGAGCTACATCCTAGCCCTTGGGGATTTTTATTGTCTTACTATTTTATGTGTATGGGTATTTTGCTAGTACCTTTCTGGGCACCAGCTGCATGCAGTGCCCACAGAGGTGTGAACTGCCATGTGGGTGCTGGGAATTAAACCCAGGTCTTCAGCAAGAGCTGAGCCATTTCTCTAGCCTGTAGCCCTTGACTTTTTGAACTGGATCTTGCCATAAAGCACAGACCGGCCTTGAACTTGAACTGTTCCATCTGATTCTACAGTGCTGGGAGTACAGGCAATGTCGTCAGGTGCAGGCTTCTGACCCAGGCAGCATTGAATGCAGAGCCAGTGTATAATGGAGAAGCACTTCACCACTCAGCCAAACCCCCATCCACAAAAGTTTGCATTTTTAATTAGTTTTGAAAGCTAACTTAGGAAGTTGTAATTGACATTACCATAGATCTACTGTTTCGATGTACTTTACTTGGGGATCAGACATACTGGTTTCCACAGGACAGCAGTGTAAGTAATAGAATAGCTTGTGTTCATACCTCCAGTCTTCACTTCCTCCAAGTCCACCATACCCAGGATAGAGGTCCTTGTGTGTGCTATGCTGACCCTCTGCAACACTGGTGACGTCCCTCCATATCCAGACACTTACTCCACCTTCTGAAGGTGTCCGTGCGTCTGCAGCACTCTTACTGAAGAGGGCTTCCTGGAACTCCATGAGGAAGTAAATCACTGCTCACAGTGTGTTTTTTTGCCACTAGGACTGCCTTAGATTATTTTCCAAAGAAGAAAAGCTCACAGATAACAACAGATTTTACTGCAGCCATTGCAGAGCTCGGCGGGACTCTCTAAAGAAGATAGAGATCTGGAAATTGCCGCCTGTGCTGTTGGTACACCTGAAACGGTAAAGCCTCTGCTTGCGTACTAGCAGTTGATGGAGGAACTGTAATGTCTATGTAATCTGTGTTCTGGGTTGTTTTTTAAGGAAACCTAATGAAGATTCTCCAGCAATAATTAGTGGCAGATATGACAAGCAGAATAATAGTACTTGTTATTTTATGTTATTTCCTGTGATTCTGTTTCTTAAAAAAAAAATTAATGGAACTAAATTATTGCATTTCAGACAACAAAATTTTAAGTCACCTCAAGTGAAATGTTACACAGTGTAATTCCAAACAGATTACCAGATAAAAATTAACATTCAGGTGCTGGAGAGATGGTTCAGTTGTTAAGAGCACTAGCTGCTGTTGCAGGGGACCTAGGTTCAGTTCCCAGCACCTACATGGCTGCTCACAACTGCTGTAACTTCAGTTCCAGGTGATCTAGTGCCCGCTTCTGGTATCTGAGTACCAGGCACATGTATTGGGCATAGATATATATGCAGGAAAAGCATCCATACATATAAAATGATAAAATATTTTTTAGTTAATATCCAGATTATAAACTATAGCAAGATTAATTTAATCATGTATAACATGATGGCACATACCTGTAATTTCAGCCTTGTGTTAAAAAAATTATGCTTTTAAAAAAAAAGTGAGTACAAAATATGGCTGCATTAGCTCATGTATGGAGAACAGAAGTCAGCTTTCTCCTGCCTTTTTGGTTGTTGCTTGTTTTTTGTTGTTTTCCTCAGACAGGGTTTCTCTGTGTTGCCCTGGCTGTCCTCGAACTCCCAGAGATCCATCTGCCTCCAGAGGGCACTAAGTACAAGCATTCTTGTCTTGAGTCTAATCTAGTGGAAGGACAGGGTCCCACACAGCAGAGCAGAGCATTGAGAGCCATAGCCCCACTGCTCTTGTTTCTCTATAAAGAGACAGGCTCTTGCCTATATACCTCAGGTGAGCCATGACCCAGCCTTCCTTCCCTTAATGCCATTATAGGTGCACACCACCATACCCAGCCGGAGTCAGCTTCACAAGAAAACCCTAAAGTTTCAGTTTAGTTGTGAAGTATATTTTGTTTTGAATCAAGCATTTATATTGGGTTATTGGAGCCAGTTGCTTAAGTCAGTTTCAACATTGAGATGTTCAGTTTTCTGTCCTTTATAGTTTTGACAAGTGTTAGCTGTCACTTGGAGTATTGTGGCAATAAATGTGTTTTTAAGTGACTATAGGTTTGTTATATTAAAAGTTCTAGTAGTGAAGGCTCTAAAGCAACTGTAGAATTGAGCTGTTGAGAAGCAGTTCATTGTTGTTCTTTTATGTATGATGTCATGGGTTTGTCCCTGACATTGTGCATAACAACGGTGAGGTAATTACACAGAAGGTTGGAAGGAGTTGAACACAGGTCTCCCTGCAGTTTCATTTTTAGTTCTGGTTTCCCCAAGTACAGGCAAAATTCTAGAGATGCTCTCCCTCAGTGCCTCCTTTGTGTAGCACAAATAATAACCTAGAGACAGATACTGGGGTTCAAGCTGAAGATCAGAAAAGCAAAGCAGCCAACCTCTAGAGAGTTCTTACCTCTACCAAGCTTAGGGTGATCCTATCTTCAGCATGACTGCAGACTAAATACATGGCACTCCTGTCTCCACCTGTCTTATGTTTCCCTCTAGTGCTGGGATTGAGCACCACCACTGCCCAGAGTCTCTGGCTGACTAGGGTAGCTGCTGCAAATAAAGGTGTGAGCCACCATTGCCTGGGCTCTGTGGCTGACTAGTATGGCTAGCTCTGCACTCTGACCTTCAGGCAAGCTTTATTTGTTAGATCATAAACAAAATATCACCACACCTTTGTGCCTTTGTAGTGTTGTAGCTGGCCCAGGAATAGGAAACCTGAATGAGAGCTGTCTCTGCCATTCTCTTTCTTCTATCTTGGGCACATTGTTTACTGTCTGCAACCCACACCTCCTCCTTTGTAAATAGAAATGAAACATGTCTTCATCAATCTTTCCATTACTAAAACAGAGGCCTCATTAATTTTGTTCTACATTTGTCATGCCACACAGGCAGAGGACAACTTTGTGGATCACTTCTCTCCTTCCACCCTTGCGTGGGTTCTAGGTGTCAAGCCCAAGTAGTCATCAGGTTTGCATGGCAAGCACTTCACCCACTGATCATCTCACTGACCCTAAGACTTCACAGATGTGAGCTTTAAGAGCTTGCCCTGAAATCCATGTAAATAGTGAAAGCTCGGTCTTGTCTTTCCTGTCAGCCTAACCCTGTGATGTTTTTTCTGCAGATTTTCCTACGACGGCAGGTGGAAGCAGAAGCTGCAAACATCTGTGGACTTCCCGCTAGAAAATCTTGACTTGTCACAGTATGTTATTGGTCCAAAGAGCAGTTTGAAGAAGTATAACTTGTTTTCTGTTTCAGTAAGTATCTTGTTGAACTGACGATGTTTTTCAAACAGGCAGCTCCAGCACTTCATTACCTCATAGGAGTGTGAGAACAGCCAAGACTTAGAAATAACTGACTCATGCTAAGTAATGATTCAGTTTCTGTTTTGTCTTGCTTGTTACAGAACCACTACGGCGGGCTGGATGGAGGTCACTACACTGCCTATTGTAAAAATGCAGCAAGGCAGCGCTGGTTTAAGTTTGATGATCATGAAGTCTCTGATATCTCTGTGTCTTCTGTGAAGTCATCAGCAGCTTATATCCTCTTTTATACTTCAGTGGGACCACGCATAACTGATGTAGCCACATAGAGGTATAGGTTATGGGCATGTTGGTGTTTCAAATCACAGAGGTGCATCTCCTAATGCTTACAAAGATAATGGATCGCTGCGACTGGCTGTGTAGAGGAATTCCAGAATACTGGGGGCTGTTATTAGCACCATATAATCAGGTCAATGCTGTTTATCAAAAACAAAAAAGGAAAAAAAAAAAAAAAAAAAAAAAAAAAAAAAAAAAAAAAAAAAACCTGACATTTAACAAGTATTATAGTAAGCATCCCTTACAGGTATTTATTTCAAAACAACTTTTTTAGTCTGCCCCAAAGTTAAAAATAATTCATTAGCCAGACATTTATTATTCTGTTGTTATCAAACCATTATAACCCTCATTTTCCTATTCACTGCTATAGCCTTTTCTCATTTTTAGTCCCAGGTCAATCCACTATGGATACTCTAGAATATCTAACGCAGATAGGAATGTATATGTACATATTTATTGCACTCTTGCACATCAGATCGCTGTACATAGTTTAACATGTCCTTCTGTGAAAAGCCTAGAAGGGATTTTTTTTTTTCTTTTGGCCTTTTCTAGGTAGCTGCAGTGCTTTCTTGGGGAAATGACAAGGCAAAACTATTTTTCTGTTGGCTTTGGGCTGTATTTGTGCACTAAATCTTTATTCTAAAAAAATGGAAACTTTAATTTTTTAAAAAGAATTCATTTACATCTACATTAAAATCTTAATGAAAAAAAATCATTTGAAACCTTGTAAGTGTTCCGTCTTTCATCTCCTCCCCCACCTCCCGTGTTTTTGAGGTAGGGTCTCATTATGTATCTTTGGCTGTCGGGAACTCAACAGCTGGCCTCGAACTCACAAGAGGTCCACCTGCCTCTTAAGTGCTTTTACACATACTTTACTCACTACATTAGTTATTCTGTAGAATTAGGACCCAATTAACCCCCTCACATGTGGTACTCAGACTTTAAAAGCTGCAGGTCAGTTACAACAAACCCCCAGACTCCTATCAAAACTGAAGAGTTAAAGAGTGCTGAGTCAGTGTGCTCTAAGGTAAAATATTGCAGCAAGAAGCACGCCACCATCAAGAGCCCTAGCCTTCCCCCGGGACAGCAGCAGGAAGCTACTTCTTGAGGAGTTCATACAGTACCATGTTTACATCATTTCCATCCCATCCTCTTAATTCCTCTCAAATTCATTGCCTCTTAAGTCTCTCTTACACACACACACACACACACACACACACACACACCCACCCACCCACCCTTGCTGAGTCCTTCTGGTGTTGGATTAAATGTCAGGATTCTCATCCCTGGAGAAGACGGATTCTTCCTGTCTCCCCTGCATCACTATCCTGCATCCCCCTCCAACAGGGTTTCTCTGTGTAACAGCCCTAGCTGTCCTGGAACTCACTCTGTAGACCAGGCTGGCCTCAACTCACAGTGATGGGAGTCTGCCTCCTGAGTGCGTCTATTCTTCCATACTTAAGTTAACTGCATGTAGCTCTTCATCTAGGGGTGGGACTTTGTGAGATGATCTGTCAATGCTGGCATATGAACTGGTAGCGTCACTGTGCAAGTCTCATTTTTTGAGATTTTAGGGTGCAGCTTCCTTGTCATAAACACAAGACACTGTTTCATAGCAGATGCCCTGCCCCTCCTCCCAGATGTTCCCTGAGCCTGAGATGATGTAGTTATGTTGTAGATGTGTCTTTTGGGGCCAAGCACCACTTGGTCAGGTGTTCTCTGCATTTTGATTGGTAGTCTCCATCAGCTGCAAAAAGCTTCTTTGATGGGGGGTAGAGTACTACACTTCCCTGTGGCTACGTATTCAGAATGAAGTTGGGAATTACACTGGCAGTAGGAGGGTCTCCTCTAGGGTCCATCACCTCACCAGTTTTGGGTAGTCAACTCAGTTTACCAGGCATGGATTCCCTCCTCTTGAAAGGTTTAAGTCCACTTAGTCCAATTAAACAGCTGTTGGTTATCCCCAAGATGTAAGTGCCACCATTGCACCTATGAGGCCTCTTGCCTCATAGCTGACTGTGACTGTTGATTGCTTGCCTCCCTTGGTAGCGTACATAGCATGTTGGGATATTATGAGACCTAGTCCTCAAGTGCAGGCTTCCAGGTCAGTTCGAGCTTGATTCCTTCAAGTCCTGTATCTGAAGTGTGTGGTGTCCTCAGCAGTAGGGTCTTTACCTTCAGGTTCTGGAAGACAACTAAGGGCAGTACAATAGTCCATATTGTTTTGGGAGTCTCTTCTAAATAAAGTGCTAAAGGTGTTTTGGGAAGTGGTTATTTAGCTTACAGGGGGAAGGGCTAGAGCCTGGGTTTCAAGTTGTAAGATTTTTTATATGTATTGGTATTTTGCATGTGTGTGTGTGTGTGTGTGTGTGTGTGTGTGTGTGTGTACACGTACCTTATAGGTGCTAAGAACTAAGCCCAGGTCCTCTTGCAACAGCAAGGGCTCATAACCGCTGGGCCATCTTCAGCCCCATGGGTCACATTTGCACTTAACTTTTCCCCTGTGCTGGTGATCAAATTTGGGAACTCATGCATGCTGAGCAGACAGTCTACCACTGAGCCATTTGTAAACACTCACATTTATAAACAAAAATCATTTGTGTTGGGCTGAATAGATCGCACAGTGAGGACCCGAGTTCAATTTCCTGAGCCCACATGGTGGAAAAGAGAATGAACTCCCACAGGTTACCCTCTGACTTCTATGTGCACATAGATACAAAATAAGTATAAAATTTTTGGAAAATAACTTGTTACTTATAATTATGAAATAGATTATGATAGAAACCTGCCTCATGAAACATTGACCTTTGAAACCTGCAGTTCTTAGACCCCTATGTTGGCAGTGTGTGGCATGCTACCCTGAGTGAGGCTGTCTGTGAGACTTAGAACCCTTATCGATGTAAGTGGTAAGGGTTTAATGACAAGGCACACTTCATTGCATTTTCTGATGGCTTGTTTGCAGTGCTCAGGAGCACTGTCCTAGCTCTTGGGTCTCTGTGTCGGTATAGAAAAGGGCTGGCAGCTGTAGAACAGGAGATATGCTGTAGCCGTTTGAACTGAAGTATCTGGGATCTCACTGACTCGGGTGTCATCAAAGCTATACCAGGCCTGAGTTACTGAGTTCTTGCAGAAGGCAGTGTAGTGGCCACCATCCAGATCGCCAAAGTGGTTCTAGGAAAGAAAGGGTGTAAGACATGGTTTCTACATGCAGATGCTCTGGTAGAATAAAAATGACAAAGCCAAAAACCTTTTTAAATTGTTTGTCTCTTATACTGAGGAAATAGTTTTGTCAAGTCTTACATAAATTCTGACTTTGAATTGCTTGTATATTGTACTCATTGACAGAATTACAAAGGAAGTCAGACAGTATATTTAAGGTTTTAAAATTTGGAGATAATTTTTGTGTATGGGTGTATAGCCTGCATATATGCAAGCGCACTACATAATGCCCAGTGTCCATGGAGGCTTGAGGAGAGCATTGGATCCCCTGGAACTGGAGTTACAAATGGTTGTGAGCCCCTGTGTGTGTTGAGACCTGAACCCTGGCCTCGGTGTCTCAATGCTGCAACAGTAAAACAGTAGCCAGCAAAAGAAACTATGTCCACTAAGGCCTAAAATATATTCTAGCTGGCTTTTTACAAAGTTTGCTGACCCATCATATAAAGGAAAGAAAATACAGCAAATGATAACCTTAGACACACTTCCACCTTGCAAGCCCTAACCTTACATCTGTGAACATCAGGGAAGAAGACTTAGTAAGTCCTAAGCCAGAAGTAACTCATCCCTGTAATCCTCAGATCCTGTAAAACCATTAGTACCAGGCATGGCTGAAATCCCAACACAGGAAGCTGAGGCCCTTGGAAGGTTGAGGCAGGAGGACTACCCCAAGGTTCAAAGTTTGGACCAGATAGCTTTTTTATTTTAATGTGTTTCTCTGCATGGATATCTGTGTGCCATGTGTGTGCTGGTGTATGCAGAGGCCAGAGGAAAGTTTTGGGTCCCCTGGAACTGGAGTCACAGAGCTGCCATGTGGGTGCTAGGAACCTAACCCAGGTCCTCTGCAAGAGCGGCCAGTGTTCTTAACCACTGAGCCATAGCTCCAGCCCCTCTCAGCCTTTGGGAGATTCCTTGTTCACTACAGAACCAGCACAAAGGAGGTAGACACCAACTTATGTTTCCTTCATCTCCATCTTGTCTCTTTTCATATCACAAAAATGGAGGAAGCAGATTGAAGAGCAGAATGAGGTGGATGGTAACCAGAGCATTTGAACCATGAAGCCACACAGGGGCCCTGGAGAGCAGGGCTTAGGTTCCAGGAAACAAGAAGCTGGACTGATGTCATCGCACCTCAATGGAAGAACAGATTAAGACACTTGCCACCAAGCCTGATGACCTGATCTGGGTATCTAGAACCCACGTGGTCTGAGGAGGACTGATCCCTGCAGGCTGTCCTCTGACCTCCACACGTGCATACATATGCATAAATCTTTCAATGTAAAACCATTAGTCTTAGACATGGTGGCTGAAATCCCAGCACAGGAAGCTGAGGCAGGAGATCAGAGTTGAAAACTATAAGATATCCAGGTGTGGTGGATATCTTGTAATCCCAGTACTTAGGGAATGGCTCAAGACCTGCCTGGGTTACAAGAGCATCTATTTATAAACAAGTATTTATTTATCTGGTTTTTTTGAGACAGGGTTTCTCTGTGTAGCTTTGGAGGCTGTCCTGGAACTCACTCTGTAGACCAAGCTGTCCTCGAACTCACAGAGATCCACCTGCTTCTGCCTCCCGAGTGCTGGGATTAACGGCGTGCGCCACCACTGCCCAGCATTGGTTAAATATTTAAGAACAGGGTAATAACAAGCAAGGAGAATGAGCGAGCTGGAATATGACGTATTGGTGGAACAAATGGCAATCACATTGGAATCAGGTTGAGACTCTTCAAGGGTTAAGTATACAGTTAGCACATGTCTAGCAATATACCTAAGAGAAATTAAACTGTCCACACACAGCCCTGCGTGGTGGCATCAATGGTAACAGTCATAAAGTAGATCCATCCCAAGTACCTCTCAGTGAATGAGTGGAATGTGGCGTGTTTACATAAGATAATGTTATTTGGCAGTAAGACAGAAGTGCATGTTACAACCCAGGGAACCCTTTAAAAGCGTGCCTTTAATCTACTCTAGAGGCAGAGGGACTTAAGGCCAGCCTGCTCTACAGAGTAAGTTCCAGGCTGACCAGAGCTGTATAACAACATTCTGTCTTAGCAACAAAACCCAAGATAAGGCAGTTTTATGATTCACACCAATAGAAGAAACAAGAAGTCCCTGGGTGGTTGCCAGGGGCTGATGTGGAGAAGAAATGAGTAGTGAAGGTTCTTTTAGGAATACTGAAAATGTTCCAAAATGTAATTGTTATAATGGACAAGTACGTAAGTATACACCAAAACCCACTGAACTCTACACACCTAAGTGAAGTTTACAGTTATCCAAATAAGAATTTTTAAGTCTGAAAGACAAAAAGATATTTATAGCCAGCCAGAAATTGAGTGTATTTGTTGCATGCAGACACACACCCACACACACTATCATCTGGAACAGTGCCACCCATAGATCCACAAGTGAAGACCTTGTCCCCAAAGTGGAAGGTGGTAGAACTTTTAGAGATGTGGACTTTGGAGGCGGCCTTAGGTCAATGTGTATGTGTCCCATCTCAAGATGTGAGTCCGTGCCCTGATGCGCCCCTGCTGAGGCATGTTAGGCAAACAAGTAAATAACTACACAATGCAGTAAGATTGGGTTTTTCCCAGATGTGAACCTAGAGATGCACACATGCCAGGCAAGCGGTCTCCCACTGAGCTTTATGTCCTCAGACCTTTAATGCATAAGAAACACACAGGCGATATGATCGAAAAACAGGCAAAAGACTTAAGACTTGTTTTTACACAGAGAAACAAACTTCAGTGGGGCTTGCTAATGCACCCAGGAAGCAAGTTCAAGGCCATCCCATCCATTGTGAAAGTGCAAAGACAAACTCTAGTTCAAATGCTATCCCACCATGCAAGCAACTAGAAGAGCCCTACAGAAAGCTACCGAGTACAACAGGGACCTAAGGCAACCACACTTGCTGGTGCTGCTGCTTAGGAATGCTATGGGTCTGAGTTTACTAATGCTGACATATGCATACCCACCCACCAGTACCGCACTCCTGAAAACAGACTCCAAAAGTCCAGGTACGTCTGATCACCAGAACATGCATGAACAACTACAGCAGTACTCATAATGATCTGCAGAACACCAAATGAGTAGGTTACGGTGTCTTACACAATGGGCCCTATCCAGTGATAGAATGAACTATAATGTGTAGCAGTGTGGATAACCTGCAGAATTTTAAGCAAAAGGACCAGATCCTAATGAGGACATATTGCAGGGTGCATTTGCATAAAGCACAAAAGCAGAGTTACTGTGTTAGAAGAATGGTCTCTGCACCTGAAGAGGGATAAAGACAGTTACACACTGATGGTGATGTCTGAGCCCTGATTTTGTTTTGTTTTGAGGGATAAGGACAGTTACACACTGATGGTGATGTCTGAGCCCTGGTTTGGTTTTGTTTTGAGGGATAAGGACAGTTACACACTGATGGTGATGTCTGAGCCCTGGTTTGGTTTTGTTTTGAGGGATAAGGACAGTTACACACTGATGGTGATGTCTGAGTCCTGGTTTTGTTTTGTTTTGTTTTGTATTATGCTTGCTTGTTTTTCGAGACAGGTTTTCTCTTCATAGTCCTGTCTGTCCTGGAACTCACTCAGTAGACCAGGCTGGCCTCGAACTCAAGAGATCCTTCTCTGAGTGCTGGGATTAAAGGTGTGTATCACCACTGCCCAGCATGAGCCCTGTTCTTATTGCATGGATGTGCTCACTGGACAAGTCACCAAATTGTATCCTCAGATTTTATGTGTTTGGGGGTCGAATGTAGCCCAGGCTAGCCTCAGGCTTATACAGATGAAGATAACTTTGACCTTCTGGTCCTGTCTGTACCTCCTGAGTGCTGAGTGCTTAGGTTATAGGTATGCACCACCAGTGGCTGTTTATTGTGCTGTAGATTGAAACTGTGGTGATACTTTGTTTATGCTATAACAAATAAAGCTTGCCTGAAGATCAGAGTGTGGAGCTACTCACACTAGCTAGTCATAGAGGCCAAGCAGCGGTGACACACACCTTTAATCCCAGCACTCGGGAGACAGGCAGACAGATCTCTGTTCAAGGCCACCCAGGGCTACATGAAATTCATCCAGTCTAAGAGAGAAACAGAGCTCACACAAAGTTAATCCTAGCACTTGGGATCATACGCCTTTAATCTCAACACTAGGGAGGTGGAGACAGGAGTGACGTGGTTGGGCGGAGAGAGGAGTAGAAGGTTCGAGACAGGAGCTCAGTGCAGTCTGAGGACAGGATGGACCACTCCTTTACTTCTCTGACCTTTGAGCATTTACCCCGATATCTGACTCTGGGTTTTTATTAAGACCTATTAGAACTTGTGCTCAGAAACCAAGGCTTTGTGGATCCTGGGCAAGCACTCTATCAACAGCCACATCCCAGCCCACCAGTTTATTTACATAAAAAACAAAACTTTCTACAAGGTAATTTAACAGAAACGCCAGCATTCCCCTGTACCTCCACAAAGAACCAAGCAACAAGTAGAACTGCATTGTGAGGGAGTTACTAGGGAGAACACTGGTCATCAGCAGAAAAACAAACTTAGGCCCAGAGATCTGGGGACAACAGCACAGTGGCATAAACTGCATCGACTCTGGCTATCCCAGCCCGGTGGCAGGGGGGAATTCATTGCAGGGTGAGGGTGACAGAGACTGCCCACTCCATCAGCCATATGGACTATGGTGAATCTGGCTAGTGGAAAGCCTGGCAGCCCACACAGACTTGCAGCTTTAACTAGATAACTAATCTAATCCACATCTTCACAAGTAGCCTGACTTTGGAAACCAGTTCTCATCATCTTCCTGCCGATCTTCAGGGTGCTGTAGCCAGGAGCTGTTGTCTAAATGGAGTGTGCATGGTCCGTCCGTCTCCAGGGCCCTACAGACATTCCAGTAGATAGCTGCATCACGAACCAAACAGCCCGGCCCTCCAACTCCCACTCAGCCTCATTATGTGACCAACTTAGGTGGTGTGACATGGTGGGGAACAGAGAAGGCTTTCAAGAATTGGGGAACAAGAGGAGCCTTCCCTCAGAGGCCAGGTGCATGGGGCCTCAGAAGACTCACACAGCTAGCGCTGCAGCATTCTGGTCAGCCCTCTTCCACATAGCTGCATTTGAGCATCTGCCACTCCTCACAGGTGCAGAGAGGCAGCATTACCTTCCCACAGGGGCAGCACCAAGTTTAGGGCTAAAAGGTGCCTTCATCAGATGCTTTCTGCTGCCTTGTGGGCCAGCCTCAAAGGGAATCTACGGAGTTGTGTACTATGACTTTATCTGAAGGGTAAGGGAAAAGACACTCTCTTGATGCTTTCCTTCTTTATTCTTCTATTTTCCTGGTGATTTCCTTCTCTCATTCTTGATGTTTTTCTTCTAAATCTACATTCTTCCTTATTCTCTCACTCAATGTTTTCCTTTTCTTTAAGATTTATTCATTTATTATGTATACAGTGTCTGTCTGCATGTATGCTTGCAGGTAAGAAGAGGGCACCAGATCTCATAGATAGTTGTGAGCCACCATGTGGTTGCTGGGAATTGAACTCAGGACCTCTGGAGGAGCAGTCAGTGCTCGAGATTCACCCATCAGGGATTTGACACCTCGAACTTCAAATGCCATCTGCTGCTCCTTTGACATGACCACTGGCAAATGCCACATATTGATACCAAATACAAAAAAAAAAAAAGTCACTTAATAAACCAAACTCAACCAGTAGAAGTGAGAACTGCGCATCTTCAGATTTGGACAGAGAAGAGGCAGAGGAATGAGTGCTTCCAATAACAGAGGCTCCGGAACCAAGGGCACTTTCTCCAGACGGCACTTGGGCATAACAACAAGAAGGCTGGGCATAAGCCTGCCTCCACCTCTGGCAATTCCAACAGACTGGAGCTGGGATGCTTTTGTTAGCAGTGAAATGGATGGTGGTGGTGAATTTAGAGTAGTCTGTATTTGTGAATCCTGTGTGTGAGCGGTTTTGATTCTTACAACAACCAGGTACAGATCTGCAAAATCAGCAGGATAGAGCTGCATGGCCATGTTTGTCAGTCAGTACCAAAGGGTTAGAGATGAATGGGAGTGTATGGATGGTGTGTGAAAAGTATACTACAGAGCCATGGTAACAAAACAGCATTGTGGTGGCATAAAACTGATGTGTGGCTCAGTAGAACAGAAGAGCCAAGTGCAACCACAGCCCCCTAATTTATGTGTAAGAGTTTTACCTACATGTACGTACATCTGCACCGGGCATTCCTGGCGCCCGGGGAAGCCAGATGAACGAGTTGGAGGCCTCTGGAACTAGGGTTACCCGTGGTTGTGAGCTGCCATGTGGGTGCTGGACCACTAACCACCAAGCCACCTACTTTTTGACAAAGATGCCCAAAAGACTCAGAAAAGACAGCATCTTAACAAATACTTCAGAGAACCTGGCAGCTACATGTACAAAAATCAACCCCAGACAGATCAAATGCCTTCACACAAACCCTGACAATTCACAGTGTAGGAGAGGGTAGGAGTACGTGTAAGATGTGAGCATGGGCAAGGACTTCATGACAGGACTTAGCAGCCAGGGAAACAAGGCGAGTGGGACCTCGTGAAACTAAACACAGTACAGATGTGGCTGTCACCTAGGTGTTATGACAATGTACATTCACGTGTTAAGATTCCATTCGTACTAAAGGAAATTAGAAACTCTGCAAGAAAGCTGATGGAACTGGAAAATACTGTGTCGAGCCAGGTCATAACCCAAGCCCAGAAAGACAGACCTTGCATATGTGGTTCCTCAATTCAAAGTTTTAGATTTCTATGTTATGTCTTCTAGTTGTCTTCTCTGTTGCTGTGATAAAACGCTGGCCAAAAGGGGAGGGATGAGTTTGTTTGACTCACAGGTCCTAATCTCAGCTCATCACTGAGGGAAGCCAAGGCAGGAACTAAAGCAGAGCCCACGGAGGAACTCTGCTTACCAGCTTGCTCCATATGGCTTACTCAGTTTACTTTTTATACTACTCAAGACTGTCTGCCTAGAGGTGACACTGCCCATAGCGGGCTGGGCCCTCCTACATCAGGAAGGAGGAACTGGATCCTTGAGGCTTGTTGATCAGCTAGTCTAGCTGATCAGTGAGAGACTTTGTTTCAAAAAGTAAGGTGGAGGGGCTAGGAAGATGGTTCAGTGGCTAAGAGAACCTGCTGTTCTTGCATGGGACCCAAAAATCAATTCCCAGCATCATTACTAGGCAGCTCACATCATGTCATAGACTATGATACCCTCTTCTGGCCTCCAGAGGTAACTCTCTTACAGCTTGGAAGCAGTACATTTTGGGGAGACATTTGAATCTATAAAATTCTAAATGCCTGATTCTCTTACAGAATGTTACTGACAGGTACCCAGGGATGTTCACAGCAACATTTGTGTGTGTGTGTGTGTGTGTGTGTGTGTGTGTGTGTGTGTGAAATCGTGTGTGTGTGTGTGGGAAATCATGTGTGTGTGTGTGGTCGTGTGTGTGTGGGTGTGTGGGGGGGGGGGTGCGCTCGC